AGGAAGCCCAAAAACATGCAGTACTCGTGGTGAGTAACAACTACAGCATTAATTACTGCCTTGGCACTAGGAAGAAATTAAAGCCTGGCAGTGAGTAAGCAGCCAGAGTCAGTAAACAAATAAAAACTGCCTCAAAATTAAACGAATATGAGGAAGTTAAACACAAAACTGAAATTTAATTAGTGACAATCCAGTTACTGATATTGACGACTTGCCTTCGGATGTTGTTTTATTATGAATTTCTCACTCTGAGGGGTGCCAAGGACCTATTTTTGGTGATTTATTCTGCCAGGCACCTCTGCTCTGCTGTTACACACCCCTGGCAGCCTCTGCAAGGAGCACAAGCTGACTCAATTTCATCTGGAGATGTCAGAGGCCGAGCACCTGCTCCAGAAGCAGCTCTGAGCAAACACACTGATGCCAAAAATAAAGTTTGCTGGGCAGGAGTCCAGCAGCAACACGTGAAAAATGATTTATCTGTGTAAAGGGCTGCTAATGGAGCAACAATTTTCACAATATTTTCAACATATAAATACGTAATACTACCAAGAACACTTGCAAAGTTTATCTGCTAAACTTCACATACATTGTTTTGAATGTGCCATGAACCCACAATTTTTCATTAGAAAACTTTTGAAAACATTGTGATCATTAGTTCAACCTCAGTTTTAAAGACCAGAGCATAAAAACTACTAAGATTACCAGTGATTTAGGAGATATTTAGTTCTACAGAGTATTATGGAGTTTCAATGCAGGAGTTTCCCACTAGAGTTCTTTCCTTGAGTACGAAGGACAAGCTTTGAACACTTTAAAGTTACCTCACCATGAAAAAATATAAATAGAATATGAAATATCTTTATAGAAATAACAGTTTCCACCTGATCAAGACCAGGAATTACTCCAAGCACAGGTATTTGCAATTTTATGGGCCAGGTGTACAGACAGACAACACGAACAGATAAATATGAACAGAAAAATAACAGGTAAAATGAAGTGGGTGTATTTAATGTAGTATCATTCTTATCTCCCTTTTGGGTTGAATTCACAGCGTTAAAAGACACAAGGATTTATTTATGACAGAACCAGAAGTGTTCTTTTTAAAAAGAAAAAAAAATTGTGGGTGGGTTTCAGCCTGCCACCAGCTTGTTTTTGAGGCGACAACAGCGCTTTCTACGGGAGAAAAACGCGCTGTAAGCACCACACAACTCCTAATAAATAAAAAACACGTGCACTCAGCAGCGAGGACACGAATCACACCCTGCAAAAACCGAGCCACAAATTACAGCGTCGAGGCTCGAAGGGAGACGCGCGCTGAGGAGCGGAGCGGCGAGGGCGCGTCGCAAGGGGCCGGGAGCGAACCGGCTCCACCAGCCCTTCCCCACACGGGCTGCGCGACGGAGCGGCTGCGAGCGGAGCAGGAGGAGGGCGCTGGTCGCGTAGGGAAGGGCTGGCGGGACGAGGCGATGGGAGCGGCCCCGCCGTGCCCTGAGCGCCATCCCCGCCGTGCCCTCAGCGCCGTGCCCTCAGCGCCATCCCCTCAGCGCCTCCCGCCGCCATTCGAAGGGCGCGCGGCCGCCGCAGCCAATCAGCGCCCGCGCCGCAGCCCCGCGCGCCCGCCGAGGGCTGAGGGCCGGCGGGGGAACCCCCCCCGCTGCCCCGCCCGGGGCTCCGCTCCCCGCGCCCGGAGCTCCGCTCCCGCCACCCCTTCCCGGCCCCCCCGCCCGCCTTACCACGTATCCGCCCCACACGTAGAGAAAGTTGCCGTCCACCACGGCGCAGTGGCCGCTGCGCTCCTCGGCCACGCAGAACTGATCCGCGGGGTCCGCCGCCATCTTGGGGGGGAGGAAGAGGAGGAGGGAGGAGGAGGAGGGAGGAGGAGGAAGCGGCTCGGCCGCCTCAGGGCTCGCGTCCCGCCACCGCCTCCTCCGGGTGAAGCTGCGGCTCCGCCGCCGGTCGCTCCCCTGGGGCGGACGGGAAGCGAGGAGGGTCCAAAGTGTGGGGCGGCACCCGGCGCGCGTCGGGATGGGAGCCCCGCGCTGGGCGCGGTGCCGGGCAGCAGTGCCGGGCTGGGGCGTGAGGCGGGATAAACCGTGCGGGAGGATGTGAATAATGCGGGAGGATGTGAATAATGGGCGCGAGAGGAGGAAAGGAGCGCCGGGAACAGGAGAGCTAAACGCAAACCACAGGGCAAGAAGGGAGGGAGGGAGGAGCTGGGTCCCGAAGCGGGACGGGGCTTAAGGCTCCGGGCAAGGACATGGAGTGATGGACAGGGGGAATGGCTTCGAACTGCCGGAGGGCAGGGATGGATGGGAAGTTGGGAAGGAATTCCTCCCTGGGAGGGTGGGGAGGCCCTGGAATGGAATTCCCAGAGCAGCTGTGGCTGCCCCTGGATCCCTGGCAGTGCCCAAGGCCGGGCTGGACACTGGGGCTGGAGCAGCCTGGGACAGTGGAATTGTCCCTGCCATGGCAGGGGTGGGATGAAATCGGCTTTAATGTCCCTTCCAGCCCAACTCATTCCATGATCCTGTGGATTCTGTGATGAGACAAGCACAGCAGAACTCCCTGTCCCTCTGAAGGTGAGACAAGCCACGCTCCTGCCAGGAGCAGCAGCTATGAAATGGCAGCTGATGTTAATTAAACAGTTGGACAGTTCCAGTTCTTACTCTGTTTTATCAGCCACTGAGTTAGTTCCAGCTGAACTCTGTGTCCGGCTGGAATCAATGGAATTCAAAATAAAACAGCTCTTCAGAAACAGTAGAGTAGAGGCTGATGTTAATTAAACAGTTGGACAGTTCCAGTTCTTACTCTGTTTTATCAGCCGCTGAGTTAGTTCCAGCTGAACTCCGTGTCCGGCTGGAATCAAAGGAATTCAAAATAAAACAGGTACAGCTCTTCAGAAACAGTAGAGTAGAACTTGGGAGAAATGTGCACTTTAGCATCTTATAAAACAGCATCAGAAAGTAATTGTCAAGATTTCCTTGTGACAGTAGAACATACATTTCCTCTGCTGGATTTAGGAGGGAAGATGTTAATTATTCACATTGATAAACTGGTAATATTAATCACAGACTCTCCTGGACTGGAAGGGACCCACAGGGATCAGCCAGGGCAGCTCCAGGCCCTGCCCAGACCCCAACAACCCCACCCTGGCATCCCTGGCAGCTCCTGGAGCTCTGGCAGCCTCGGGGCTGTGCCCATTCCCTGGGGAGCCTGGGCACTGCCAGCACCCTCTGGGGAAGAGCCTTTCCTGAAATCCAACCCAAACCTGCCCTGGCACAGCTCCAGGTATTCTCTCAGTGGTGACACAGAGATCAGCACCTGTCCTGAACTCTTGAAATGAGGCAATGTACGGACGGTGCATTGGGATGGTGGTTAAATGCAGGAGTCAGCATTTGGGAGCGGTAAAAAAGCCACGGGAAGCAGACAAACTCTGTCCAAAGGTCTCTAGGTCAGGTAGAGCTGCAATGTGCTGCCTCAGGAGATGGGATTTTGCCAGTGGAGCAGTGACAGACATGGCAATGAGCTGCTTGTCAGTGCAACAAAGCAATCCCGTGGATCCAGGTGGATGCACGCTGGATGATCCTGGAGCACTGGGCTCTCTCCAGTCACTCTCCAGCTGCTGTGATGTCCAGCAAAGCCACGGGAGGTGACAGAGATCTGGGCATGGCTTTCAGAGCTGCAGATGGCTCAGTGGAACACACGGCTGCAGCTCACACTGGAATACTTTTATATCTCTGGTGGGAGGCTCCAGGCAAGCTAAGAGAGCCCCCACATCCAGCAGGATGCTGTAGGAGTGTGCTTTACATTCCCTGGCTGGTCACAGCTTCAGAGAAAAGTATTTTTGGATGAGGGGCACATCCCTTCTCCAGGTGCACCTTCCTTCATGTGGCGAGACAGGAGCTGAATGGCAGCATCAGGTTTTCTTAGAAGGAGAATAAGCAGTAATTTTAGCAAATGAAGGTACTTACGTAAGAATTGGGCTTATAATTTGCACCTAGCTGCATGCCTGTGACAAAAAAAATGAATCATATTTCCTGCCAAAATAGCTGAGACCTGTCAGATGGCAGCTCTTTGTCTGAAGAGAGTAGCAGCAGCTTCACCCATGAGCTCACTCCCGATGAGGAGCAATTATAAATTCTGAGAATGGGCTATGGAAAACAGCTGACATTTTCTGTCTGTCTTTAAATCCCTGCAGTCTCTCGAACAAACTCTTTCAAGAGTTGCTTTGTGAGCCTTGTGTGGAATCAAGCTGTACTTTGAGAGATGGGGAGGAGTGTTTGAATGAAATATCAGGTGTTTTCCATCTGGAGAGAAGGCAGCTACTCCACAATCCTGGAACTGTGGCTGTCCCTGGATCCCTGGAAGTGTCCGAGGCCAGGCTGGATGGGGCTTGGAGCAACCTGGGAAAGAGGAAAGTGTCCCTGCTGTGGCAGGGGGTGGGATGAGATGAGTTTTAAGGTCTCTTCTCATCCAAACCATTCTGGGACGCTGTGATTCTATAAACACAGCCCTGGAGAGCATCCTGTGCTCACAGGACCAATTCACAGTCAGGTGTGTTTGATGGATGTTTTGTGGCAAGGAAATCTGAAGTGGGAGAGACTCTGGAGTGCTGGAGAGGCAGAGGAGCCTGTGCTGGGCCTACAGGGAACAGCAGGGAGAAATATTGTGAGCTACAATACCTGTAAAGGAACAAAGTGATACTGTGGGTAATTGTATTGGGTAACTTGTGCCGATCACAGCAAGTGTTTTATGGAATCAGGGAATTGTTGAGGTTGGAAAAGCCCTCTATGAAGGTGGAGTCTGTCCCATGTCCCCATACGCCACATCCACACGGTGTTTAAATCTTCCAGCCCCTTCCCAGCTCCGTTCCCTTCTCCAGCCCCTCCATGGCACGAGGGGCCCGGAGCTGCCCTCAGGACTGGCGGTGCCCAGCAGAGCAGCTCAGGGGACAGTCCCTGCCCGGCCCCGGCGCTGTCCCCACACGGCAGAGCGGGGCCGGGCCGGGCTCCTCCCGCCTGAGGGGGCGGCCCGGCCGCGTTTGGCGCCATCGCCGCCATGGAGCCCGAGCGGCTGCGGCGCCGCCTCGGCTCCGCGTTCCGCCTGCGGGGGCTCGTCCTGCGCCCGTGAGTAGCGCGGGGCCCGGCCCTGCTCCGGTCCGGACCCTGCTCCGGTCCGGACCCTGCTCCGGTCCGGACCCTGCTCCGGACCCGCGGGGACCGGCCCCGGGGAGCGCCGGTGCGGCACCGGGCCGGGGCCGCTCCGCGTCCTCCTCGGGATGCGGGGCTGCCTTTCCCACCTCCTCCTCCTCCTTCCCCCGCATCGCGGCCTCCGCAGGCTCCTCCAAAGCCATCTTTCGTCTGTCCTGCTGCTGCAGGCCCCTTCCTTCCATCCCCGTCATGACCCTGGGTGCGCCAAGAGCTGCCCATGGTGTCCCCTCGGAGCTCTCCCTGCTGCTGGTGCCGGGTGTTTATTGAGGTTTTTTTGTCTGCCTCTGACCCTGACAACCCTGGGGTCTGAGTTTCACTTGCCTCTCTTGTGCTCAGCGTTCTTTGCTAGAGGAAGGAATGGCATTTGCAAAGACAGGAATGGTATATTTCCAATGTAATAGGATGTGTTATTTAGAGATGCCAAGGTCAGTGAAAAGGGATTCCTGCTTGCAGTGGAAGGTGTCATGATGTAAAAGAGACTGGGTCTCCCCTCACTCTTATTTTCCCTTTCTTTCTTGTGTGTGTTAATATCAATTAAATTCTGTTGTGGTTGGGATGTGATTATTTTGGACAGTGCCCTGATACTTTCATTAGAGAGGAGCACAAGTCCAGAACTCCTGACTCCACAGTTCCATGAGCTGAGACACTTTGAAGGTCAGGCTGATCACAAAATGCCACTTAGGTTGGCCAGCAGATGACATTAATAAGAAAATTTTTATCTTTAATGTGAGACTCTTGTCTAAGGTTGAGGGGAAAACCGGATTTCTAAATCTTACGTTATTGAGAATTAAAATAACTTCTGTTTCAAATACATTGCTGAACTGGAGCAGGTCCTGTGGGGGCTGCAGGGTGGTCCTGGGCTGGAGCCGTGGGGGAAGCAGGAAAGGCTGGAAGCTCTCTCTGGTGACATCCCAGCTTCAGGGCTGCACCCGGATTTGGAGTCCAAAGTGAGGGATGTGGAGCTGCTGGAATGAGTCCAGAGAGGCCATGGAGCTGCTCCAAGGGCTGGAACCCCTCTGCTCTGGAGCCAGGCTGGGAGAGCTGGGAATGTTCCCTGGAGAGGAGAAGACAAGCATCCAGGGAGAGCTCAGAGCCCCTGGCAGGGCCTGAAGGAATGGGATGGGATTTAAGGTTCCTTCCAATCCCAACCATTCTGGGATTCCATGATTTGAGGGTCAGAGAACCTGGCATGGGGAGGATGTGAAGGATTTGGGTTGATTCAGCCTCAGGAAGGAAAGATTCACAATGAGCTAATCCCAGTCTTCCTAAAAGTGAGAAGTGTTCTCAAGGATGCACAGTGACATGGCAAGAGGCATTTAATTATTCACTGTAATAGTAATTAAACCTTGGAGTTGATGGAGTAGAGAAGTGCTGGAGTCTCCCTCAATGGAAGTTTTCAGGGCTTGGCTCCACGGGGCTCTGGACAGCATAACCCAAGCTCTGCTTCCAGGAGAAGGTTGGACCACAGGGTCTCCAGAATTCCCTTCCAACATGGAATTTTTGTGTGAAGCTGAGGTTCTCCACATCTTTTCCCTGATAATTTTAATCCAAATGATTTTTTCTCTGACTTAAACCAATGTGCTATTATGCAGAACTAATGATTTCTGCTTTTAACCACCAGCCATGTGGTGATGATGTGCACACCTGCCAAAATCAGCTCAGTTTGTGTCAACTATTGAACATTAATTGCTTTTTGTGCTTTCTCCTCTGGGATTAGGGATGCCCTGAAGTATCTCACTGAAGCTTTCCAGTCCACCAGTGAGGGAGAACTTGACGACATAATTGAAAATGTCATCGATGCCGTTGAAAAACAGCCTTGTAAGTAAACAATTTATTTTCCTTGAGCCAGTTCTCCTGGCATTTCTGATGTCATCAGGACAAAGACAGTGACTGGCAGCAGAGGCACTGAGGTGTCGTTGTAGTGTAAAGGGTTGATGGAGATAAATGGATTTTTTGGCCCTTTATTTTGGTTAAACACAGGTTTGCAGTGTCAGCAGAGCTGGCAGTGCAGAATATCCTGACTTTTCCAAGAGTAGTAACATTATTCAGTGACAGTTACTAAAAGTTTGTCTGGACATCTTTGTACCTGAAACTGTCATTTTAAATATTAATCCAAGAGTAGTAACATTATTCAGTGACAGTTACTAAAAGTAACATCTTTGGACATCTTTGTACCTGAAACTGTAATTTTAAATATTACAGTGGGGAGAGTCTATTTACAGGACACAGGGAATGGCTTCCCATTGCCAGAGGGCAGGGATGGATGGAATATTTTGAAGGAATATTTTGATAGAATATCTTGAAGGAATTCTTACCTGTGAGGGTGGGGAGGCCTTCAAACACATTTCAATTATCAGTTTAAATCCATGAAAACAACAATGTACAATCTCCAGAATTCTGTTGGAATACTTAAGGCAGCAATCCTTGTGATAATGTTCTGGAACCAAATTAACCTCCAGAATGTGAGAGCTCAGCTTTAGCATATTTGTGATATATTTGGCAGCTTTGCATGAGCTATAATTGTCTTGTTCTCCATGTTTGGGGAATTCAGGGTGGGCACAGAGTGTTTTTCCCTAGGAACGTGTCCTTTTGGTGGCAATATTAAGTGATCCATCTGTGTGTCATTACAGAAAACATGAATTATTTGTGTGTATTCCCGTGAGGAGACTCAGCCATTTAATGTGAAATGTTGGAGACTCACTTCCTTCCTTGCTGCAGTTTTAATCCTTGGGATTTTTCTTTCCAGTGTCATCCAACATGATTGAGCAGCCCCTGGTGGAAGCAGCTGTCCAGGAATGCAGCCGGGCCCCGGATGAGGCCATGTGAGGGTGACATTAAAAATGTTATGGGGACTTCTGGGAGCTGCTGGCATTTCCTTGTTCCCCCTGGGAAATGAATGCCAGGCATTGTCTGCATCATTGCTCTGTGCTTTTGCCTTCCTGCTGCTGCCTTTGCTCCCATCCAGCCCCTGTCCTAGCTCAGCCTTCCCAAGGCATCACCAGATTGCTCCTCAGAGCCCATTTTCTCTCCTCCAGGGGGCCCTGAAAAGAATCTGGAATTCTGGAACTCAGCTGCTGGGGTTGTGTGCTGGGTGTGCTGCAGGTGGAATATTAACCAGCACTTCTGGCCATGCTTTATTTGCTTTGCTCTAGATGAAAGTTATCTCAAGTTACTTTTGTTCCTTTCTTTTCTGAAAGCACTTTGGAAAAGTTTTCCTCTGGGGTGCCTGCTCCAGCTTTTTTGTTTAGTTTTTTGAAGCCCTGATTGATTTCCCTTCTGTGATAACAAAGTGTGGAGCAATTACTGGAGTTTCTGAGCACTTTGTGATCCTGATGGATGTGTTTCCTTTCGTGTTCCCATCGTGATGCAAAGCATGAGAAGAGATGGTTTGCTGGGCATGTCAATTAGATCCTGTCATCTCAGCCTCTCAGGATGGAGAAAATTTGGGTTTAACTTTCCTCCTTGCTGTTGGAATCTTTATGAGGCAGACTTTTCTTTGTGATGCTTTTTTATACTTAATTTGCTCCAGAACTGAAGAGAAATCCATATGTACAGATTCTCAGTGCAGAGTCCTGAAGGGAAAAGCTCTACAGATCACAGAGACAAGTCTTTTTCATTATTTAACTAAAAGATGCAGGAGAAAATAGACTAGAAATATATAAACTATATATAAAATAAGAGAAGTGGTGATGATAGTGAACAAAACAAATGTCATTTTAGCCAACGTATTTGTCAGTTTGTTTCATCCACTTCATGGAATCACAGAATGGTTTTGGTTGGGAGGTAACATTCAGTTAATGCTGTCACTGTTCTTATTTCAGAGAAAATGTTTTCAACATTATTGGAGCCTTTGACATCCCACGTTATATTTATAATTCAGAAAGAAAGAAGTTTCTGCCGTAAGTCTCCCATATTTTAAGTTTCAAGCACTCCCTGTTTTATGAACAAAGCCTCTATTTCTATAGGATAAGTCTGGTTTTAATCTTTCTCTCTTGGCTCTGTTCAACTGAAGCCTGAGTGAGAAAAGTAATAAATGTTTAAGGCCATAAACCAAGTTTATTCCACCTAATGAATAAAAAAGACAGTGAGGCTAAGGACATACATCACTAAAGGTAGTTTGGGGTTATTTTTTTTCCTCACATTGGGCTGTTTAAATTTATTTTTTTAATAAATTTGATGTGTCTGCTGCCTGTATTTATTTCTTAGCCTGTATCTTGCAGCTCCCTGAAGCCCTGGGGGGTTTCTAAGGAGAGCTCCAAACAGTAAAAAAGAAAAATTAGGAGCAGCTGGTGAGAAACTGGAGGAATAATGCTTTTGTTCACAACTGCTTAAAGGCATAACTGCTTTTTTTCAAATGGATTTCTGCAGAGGTCTCTTTGGGTGGAGGGATAAATCTCAAGGCCTGGGAGTTAGAGGGGAATGAAGTGGATGCAGAGATGCAGACACGCAGGATCCCGAGCAGGAATGTACCTGAATCATGGTGCAGCTTTTGCAGCCTCCCGGACCTTTCAGAGCAAGAAATCATCTTTATGTGGGGAACATCCCTTCTTGACATCCTGATTGTGTTCATTCCTTGCAGCCTGTCCATGACTGACCTGCCCAGGCCCAGTTTGTTTGGGACTGCCAGGGACAAGGCGGAGCTGTTCCGGGAGCGCTACTCCATCCTCCAGCAGGTCAGGAGTCCTCAGGGAGGGATCCCACTTCTCCTGCCAAAAATACATCATGCTCCCTGCCTCATGAGCCCTCTGCCTTCCAGCTTGTCACAAATAGCTTCTTTTAGCAGCCTTACTTAGGTGCTTTCATGACACTTTCTTTAGGCTTAGTTTTATTACCCAGTGCGTTTTTTAGGCTTAGTTTTATTATCCGGTGTTATTGATCATCTGTTTCTTGGAAATAAATTCTTGTCAGAAGGACTGAATTATTAAAAGTTGCTGGATGAAGTAGAGTAAGAACTTTCTGAAGTGTTTTTTGCATAGTGCTTGTAGCAAACTGGCTTTTTGGCAGTGCTCATTTATGTTTAAACTGAATCACTTCAATTTTGGTTTGTGCAGAGGACTCACAGACATGAGCTGTTCACTCCCTCACCAGTTGATGCTCATCCTGATGATAGCAAGAACAAATTCCAGGTAAAAAAAATGGAGTTCTTGTCAGTTTTAATCCAAATAATCACAGCAGTTCTTTATGCTAGCAGCCACTATTGGGAATCTTCTCCTAAGGCACATTGAGAAAGGAGGTTCTGGTGTTGGTAACGAGCCTGTATCCTCTGGCTCATCTGTGTGTTCATGTACAGCCATGTCCTGGGTGGGGCTGTGTCTTGCTTGGGAGAAAGCAGGCAAGAGAGTTTGAGTTTGGAGGGTTTGGTTTGGTTCTGATTGGATTCTTTGCCTTTGACCCCAGCTAAAGACAGTAGAAACTCTCTTGGGCAATCCAGCTAAAGTGGGAGAGGTGATTGTGCTTGGGATGATCACTCAGCTCAAGGAGGTGAGTTCCTTTTTGCTGTGGAGTCTCTGATCACTGCTCATTCAGTGCTGTAATACATTAAAAAATGAGAAAACTTAAATATCTCACACTTGACCCATTCTGAGAGACTTTTCCTCAAGCATTCAGTGCCAGTGTGTGTGGAAAATGTCTTTCTTTGTCTTCCCAATCTAAAATTTTTATGTCAGCAGCCAGAAGCAGTTAGGATTTTTTGGCTTGTCCCTTGAGAGGCTGGAGCTTCCAGTGGCTGAGTTTGGACTTGGCAATGCCTTGGACTGTGATTTTAGGGGGGAGCACCAGCAATCCCAGCTGCAGCAGCTCCCAGGGAAGCTGCTGACATACATTTACTACAAATGACTTTATTTTCAGTTCTTGTCAGCTTAAAACATTAAACCCAGACAAATAATTTCTAAATGGTGACTGTTAGATGCTTCTGACTGAAGCATTTGTGTGTTTGGTATATTTTGCTTTATTAATGAATCCTGTTTTGTAGGGGAAGTTTTTCCTGGAAGACCCCACAGGAGTGGTCCAGCTAGACCTTAGTAAAGCAATATCCTTTTGCTGTGATGGAAGAGCTGGAGGAGTTTCCTGTAGACCTGCAGGATTTGAAATTGATCAGTAAATCAACGCTGACCATTCAGAATTCCATACTGAGAGCTGCAGCTCTGTCTTTCTCCTTTGTTTGCAATTCCTTGGCTGCTGCAGCTCCTGCCTTTCCCTTGGACATGGTGACTTTCCCTCTCCATGGAAGCAGAACCTGCTCCAGTTCCTGGGCTCTCTCTGCACTTACCTGCTCATGTACCAGGGAATTTCCAGGCTCTTCAGGCAGCCTGTGAACTTTCAGTGCTGTCCAAATCTATTACACCAGCTGGAAAGCAAATTTTGGTTCAAAAACCTACTTTAAATCTAAGAAAAATACATTCCTTAACCTTTCTGCACCAGTTCCACAGTGGGTTATACACTGAATCCTCCTTTGTTCTGGCAGAAGGTAAAGCAGGCTGGGTTTATTTTTTAGCTGGTAATAAATTATTCTGTTCAAGCTGTGGCTGCCAGATGTGGCTGAGCAGAGAAGTCTCATTTTGGTGACCATCAGTGAGTTTGGGACTGAGATTTTTGGCTTTCAGCTTTTGCTGTGACTCTGGAGGCAGAGAGGAGGAATTTGGGGGTGTTGGGGCATGGGAGGCTCTGGAGCAGCTTTGAGGATTGGCCCCAGCATGCTTGGAGAAGTTGACTGGGTTAGGAAGACAGCCTGGAATGACCAGAGGAATGATTTAATGATCTGAAAATGCTGCTCTGTGCTGGCAAAGCTTTGCTCCTTTAATGAGGCTTCTCATTAGGATGATGTAAGAGCTTGCAGTTTTGGAGGAAAAAAAAAAAAAAAGGCAAAAGCAGCTATTTCTGTATGTGGAATGTTCCTCTGTGCCAGATCCATGATCTCAGTCTGTTTTCTGGTGTGTTTTATGCTTGTAAGAAGATATTGGGAGCAGAAATGAGAGTGGGGATAAATAAATATCACCAGATTCCTTCTGTTCTCAGCAGTGGGATTTGAGAGCACTTGGATGGGGGCCCTTCAGGACAGGCCCAGCAAGATCATGCAGCCCTCCTGGTGTGCTTGAGGGGCTTGTTCATGGGGCTGTGCAGCAGATGCACCCACAGGAGTGCCTGGGCTCAGGACAAAGCTGATTTCCCTCTCAGCCCTTTTCCCATTGCCTGCTCTGGTTCTGTGGAGAGGGGCTGATGGAGCCTGGGACTGGCAGTGCAGCACGGCTGCCAGCTCTGACTAATGTCTGGGACACGATGCTGGTAGAAAAACTGAAGGGTTATTTTGCTGTTTTGCTCTTCCAAAACCTCCTAGGTTGGTATGAAGATGAAGTTTTTCATGTGAACGCTTTTGGATTTCCGCCCACTGAGCCTTCTGCCACCACGAGGTACAAAAGTGACTTTTGGCAGCCTCACTCCATGTTTTCCTAGGGTTTCTAAGTAAGATCATTGTTATTTTGTAATTTCTCTGACATTCAGGTATGTTATTCTTCCTCCTCCCCACATGCTTTAAAATAAATACCATTTTAAGGAAGCAGTTCTGGGACTTAGAGGCATTAAAGGCTGTAGTGTTGGCAGAAAAACCCTTCCAAAGGCCTTTGGGTTCTGCATATTAATGGAAATTGGGATGTAAACCCTTCTCAATGGCAAAGCCAGGTAACTGTAACATGGAATAATAAATTCCTTGTTGCTGAGAGAATGGATTCCTGGGTCAGTGGAAGGTGTCCCTGCCCATGGCAGGGGCTGGAATAGGATGAGCTTTAAAGTCCCTTTGGACCCAAGCCATGCTGGGATCCTAACTGGAGCATTTTCATGATGCAGAGCCTTCTATGGGAATATCAACTTCTTTGGAGGGCCTTCCTCATCATCAGTAAAGGCTTCTGCCAAGCTGAAGCAGCTGGAGGAAGAGAATGAAGATGCCATGTTTGTGTTTGTGTCTGATGTGTGGCTGGACCAAGCAGAGGTGCTGGAAAAGCTTCACATGATGTTTTCAGGTAGGTGGGAATTGCTTTCACTCTGAACCTTGTCTGCATGATTTGTTTCCATAAATTCTTGGTACAAATGGTGGTTTGACCAGTGGCCATTTTCTGGGCTGTGACAGGAATGTTTCCCTTGCTCCTGGAAGCTCTTCCTGGGCTTAGCTTGAAGACTAATTCCTTGGTTCAGAGAGATGGACATTGCTACCCACTGCCAGATGGGATATTGGGAATTGGGAATTCCTGGCTGGGAGGGTGAGGAGGGGCTGGGCTGGAATTGCCAGAGCAGCTGTGGCTGCCCCTGGATCCCTGGCAGTGCCCAAGGCCAGGCTGGACAGGGCTTGGAGCACCTGGGACAGTGGGAGTGTCCCTGCCATGGCAGGGCTGGAATGGGATGGGATTTAAGGTCCTCTCCAGCCCAACTCATTCCAGGATTCTGGGATCAGTACTGGGGACAGCACTGGGAAAAACAAGCTTTTATGAATTGCTCCTTTGTATTGCAGCAGTTTGGGAACAGCTTGTCCCTCCTGCCTCGGGCAGGATGAAGTGTGAGAGAGTGATGGCTTTAAAAACAACCCAGAATTCAGGGTGGGAAGCTGCTCCTCAGCAAAAGGGAGCTGGACACAAATGAGCAGTCATGCAGAAGTTAAAAAGCCAGTTCAGTGTGTGGGTCAGAGCTGGCAAATCCTGTGGGCAGACTGGGCTTGACCCAGGGCTGCAGGTGCTGAGGGCAGAAGGGGCCCTTGGGCAGTGAGGTTTGTGTGCTGAGCTCACCTGGCAGAGGTGCACACCCTGCATTTGCTATTTTGAGACTTCACCAGGCAAGTAATAATCTTAATTATAAACTAAACGAGCAGCTGTGGGGGAGAGCAAGGAAAAATATTGATGAGCCATTTCTCTGGGATCAGCAGTTCTGTTCCATTTACCAGCCCCTTAGAAAACCAGTGAAGTAAATCCAAGTGTGATTCTGTGTGTCAGGAAAATGGAGAGTAACTGGGGTGTGAGATGAATGCCTGAGTAGCTGTTTCTATTTTTATTTCAGGGATGGGAATCAGGTTTCTTTTTCCCCCACTTTGTTTTGAAGCAGTTAATGGTGAGGTTCTGAGCACTCACCAGATCCTCAAACTGCTCAGGCAGTTCCAGTTACTGTTGCTTTATAATGCCAAAGGGGGAATTGGGTGTTGGGAGAGCCCTTAAATTGGAATGATCAGGGAGGTTAATAGCAACCCAGTGCTGCCTGCTTGCTGTTTTCCTTTTGAAGGCAATAATACATTTAAAAATGACATTATTTAGTATAATTGCACTTGGTATAATTCTGTGACTGGGCCAGGAGTTGGATACACACAAACACTGCTGGAACTCAGCCTGTAAGTGCCAGGGGGCTCCCTCAAAGTGACATTTGTACATGGCCATCCCCTTTTTGAGCTAAAACCAGCCTGGATCAAGAAAATCAGGTGTATTAATAGCAGCAGGGCTTGAAGTGCTGTTTCAGTTCCTGCTTTTCCTGGAATGGGCTGAGTGCTGGAAGGTGCTGGAGTGCATGGATACACTCACAGATCCTCTCTTTTCCCAGGTTATTCCTCTGCACCTCCCACCTGCTTTTTCTTCTGTGGAAATTTTTCATCTGCACCATATGGCAAAAATCAGATCCAGTCCCTGAAAGGTAGGGAGGTCTTTGTGAACAGCCAGACATGTGCACTGAACTAAAATAATGATGGCAAACAAATGAAGAGGGCAGAAAAGAAACATTTATTTTTTTAAAGTGCACTGCAGCAGAGGGGGGATTCACCCAAGGTGTGTTTATTTCTAACCAGGTGTTGTGCCCTGTTTTTCCCTGACTCCAGGTTCTTTGAAGGCTCTGGCAGATATTATATGTGAATATCCCAGCATCCATAAAAGGTACAGAGCAAGGGGAAATCTGTTTATTTTGTGAAGCCTTTCATGACCTGAAGAAGCTGAGAGTTGCCCTGTTTTCTCTGTCTTGTGAGCCAGCTGTGATCAGATAAAAAGCTGGTTTTGTAACAGGCCTGCAGGTTTGTTTGGGAGCAGGGTAAATTTGATTTTATCCCAAATAGCTTGGGCATGGAAACTGCTAATGAGGGAGCCAAGGTCTCTCCCTGGGATACCTTCCTGCCTCCTGCTCTCTGAATTCAGAACATCAGACCCAGGTTTTAGGATCAGTTTATACAAAAGAGATTTGTTAAGCTTCTTTTTTTTTATTTTTATTTTTTGTAGTAGTCGATTTGTGTTTGTCCCTGGTCCTGAAGATCCTGGGCCTGGTTCAATTTTACCAAGGTCAGTTTGCTTCACTTCCTCACATCTTGGAATTTTGAGTGAAATTTGAGTTAAAGATGGTTAAAGAGTCTTTGTTGATACCTCTGTTATTTATTTTAGACCTCCCCTGGCTGAAAATATCACTCAGGAGTTCAGACAGCTGGTGCCATTTTCAGTTTTCACCACAAATCCCTGCAGGTAACCATGTAAATGCTAATTTTTAAAAATAATTTGTTTTTAAACGAAATTATTTGCAAATATAATTTTCAAAACCTACCAGATTTTGGGTAAAATTTGCCTTAAATTTTTCAAATTAATAGAATTCTTCATTTCATGAATTAGAACAATTTTAAATGTAGTAGGACATAAAAAATCTGTGAAGAAAGCAAGTAGTGCTAAAAAAATTGATATTGAATACAAAAATCCTGCTCAAAAACATCATAAGGGAAAGTATGATTTTCATTCAGTTGTCTGTATTAGAGGGAGATCAACTTTCTAATGCATCTTCCTCATTTTTAGGTTCACCTTAATTAATTTCACTGCTGTTTCCACTCAGGGTCCAATACTGCACCCAGGAAATCATTATTTTTCGGGAAGATTTGGTCAACAAAATGTGCAGGAACTGTGTCCGCTTCCCAAGCAGCACCATGGACATTCCCAACCATGTGAGTGAGTGGAGCCCAGCACTTTTTGCCCAGATTTTTTGATTTTATTGATCAGCAGGGCTGGATTTTGGGGGCTCTGATCCTTGTTCTGGTGCCACATTGCGTGAGTAACCCAGAGGGGTTGTAAGAGGGATTTATACATTTAGTATTCTTATTTTTCTTTACATTTTGACAGCAAAATAACTCAAACCATGATAGTTTAAGGTGGGATTGAGTCATTTTGTCACACTGGAGCTGCCCTTGAACACAGAACTTCAGAGCAGAACCAACCATCAACGTCCTGCCAAGAAACACTGATTCCTAAAGGCAAATTGTAATGCAAATTACCATTTTTTAAAGATTTGATTGGTTACCCAGTGCCATTTGCAGTAAAGCAGCAGGTCACTTCCTCCAAAATTCACCTGCTTGTTTTGTCTCCTCCCTTGAAATGGAAATTCTGCTCCTCACACATCAGCAGTGTGCTCTGGGTTTGGTTCCACTTAACGAGTGCACAGCAGGAGCTGATGGGATTCACTGAAATAATTGGATGGGAATGATCCAGGTAGTCCTGGCTCATTGCAGTGATGGATGGAGCCTGGTTTTGTTTATTTTACAGGAGTTTTTGTAACTCAGAAAGTTGGTTTTGCTCAGTGTCTCTGTGAACACCCCATGGACACTGAGGTTCCTTGGTTTTGTGGGCACATTTGCATTCCTGACACTTCCCTGTCCTCATCCAGGGCTTTCCAGAAAGGAAATGTAGAATTGCAGCACTTTCTGCAGGTTGTTTTTTGCAAACTCCACTTTTCCTCAGCCTTTTTTGCCTATTTTAATTCAGCCATCAGTGTAAAAAAACAAGAGAGGGGGAAATTTTGCCACAAAGAAAGGAAAATCATCTGGGAATCAAATTATTTCTTCAGTTCAGGGAAAAGACTTTTTAAAGTGTAAGTCTTGAGGTTAACTGGAAAGCAGTAAGGAAAATAAAAACCAAAAAATGAGAGTTGTGGCAGTGTTGGTGCTCTCTGGGTGGAGGAACAGTAAGTGATTCTCCTGGAGAGTCTGATTGATGAGATCATTTTGACATCTTCAAATCCTGGCCTTTAGAAAGGCCTTTGTGTATTAAAACCCCCACAACTGCAGAAAGGAAAGAGCTGGAGGAGAGTCACTGCTTTACTCTAGAAATCATTAATAATCAGCAGGAATGAGATACAAAAAGCCCCAAACATTTCCAGGTTCAAAAAGCTTCTTTATTAACACACACTGACACATGCAGGGATGAACTGAGCTTGCAGCAAATGTTTCAAACCAAGTGTTTGTGGGGATATGGAATCCATCCCTGCTTTATTCTGGAACTCCATCCAGCCCCTGTCCTAGCTCAGCCTTCCCAAGGCATCAGTGGGGGAGATTTTTTGCAGTTTTTGAAGACCATTTTATCCCAGGGGAAATGCTTAAAACCAAATGTTTGTGGGGTTTTTTTGTTGCAGTTTGTGAACCCCATTTTATCCCAGAGGATAAATGCTTCAAATACTTCAAACCAAGTGGTTTTTTTTGTTGGTTTTTTTTTTTTGCAGTTTGTGAAAACCATTTTATATCAGGGGATAAATGCTTCAAACATTTCAAACCTAGTGTTTGTGGGGTTTTTTTGTTTTAGTTTGTGAACCCCATTTTATCCCAGGGGTAATGCTTAAAACAAAGTGTTTGTGAGGGTTTTTTTTTTGTTTTGATGGTGGTTTTTTTTGTTGTTTTTTTTTTTGTTACAGTTTGTCAAGACCATTTTATACCAGGGGATAAATGCTTCAAATGCTTAAAACAAAATGTTTGTGGCTTTTTTTTTATTTGCAGTTTGTGAAGACCATTTTATCCTGGGGTAATGCTTAAAACCAAGTGTTTGTGGGGTTTTTTTTGTTGGCAGTTTGTGAAGACCATTTTATCACGGGGTAATGCTTAAAACCAAGTGTTTGTGGGGTTTTTTTGTTGCGGTTTGTGAACCCCATTTTATCTCAGGGTAATGCTCAAAACCAAATGTTTGTGGGGTTTTTTTGTTGCGGTTTGTGAACCCCATTTTATCTCAGGGTAATGCTCAAAACCAAATTTTGTCAAGACCATTTTATACCAGGGGATAAATGCTTCAAATGCTTAAAACCAAACGTTTGTGTGTTATTTTTGTTGCAGTTTGTGAAGACCATTTTGTCCCAGGGGCACCTGAGCCCGCTGCCGCTGTACGTCAGCCCCGTGTTCTGGGCCTACGATTACTCGCTGCGGGTTTATCCCCTGCCAGACCTGCTGGTCACCGCTGACAAACACGACCCCTTCTCTGTCACCAGCTGCGACTGCCTCTGCATCAACCCCGTGAGCACTGCCCTCCTTTTTCCTCACACCAACATGGATTTTTCTCCTTTTCCCTCACACCAAGGTGGATTTTTCCCCTTTTTTCCTCACACCAACATGGATTTTTCCCCCTTTTTCCTCACACCAACTTGGATTTTCCCCTTTCTCCTCACACCAACTTGGATTTCCCCCTTTTTCCTCACACCAACATGGATTTTTCTCCTTTTCCCTCACACCAATGTGGATTTTTCCCCCTTTTTCCTCACACCAAGGTGGATTTTCCCCCTTTTCCCTCACACCAATGTGGATTTCCCCCTTTTCCCTCACACCAATTTGGATTTTTCCCCTTTTTCCCTCACAGGGTTCCTTTCCCAGAAGTGGATTTTGCTTCAAGGTGTTCTACCCCTCCAACAAGACAGTTGAAGACAGGTAAATAGGTTTTTCTTGTGTGCTGAGTTTCTGATTATCAGGGTGAAAAGCATGGGAAATTGGTGATATTTGAATGTTCCAGCAGCTTAACTCACACTTCATACTCAGGCAGTGTAACAAATGCAAATGCCCAGAACTAAAGCAATAAATGTAGGAATTACAAATATCAGTGATGGAAAGCACAGTTCAGAAGTAAAAGGAGGGATGATTGCACTGCCTGATTTTCAGTGATAGAGACCTAATTGGGAAGCAGATTTGTTTCTGGGGATGATGGTTGTTACATAAATTAATTAAATTTAGGAAAAATTTTTGCTTCATTTTGTGATAATCATCAAGCCCAGATGCCACTTTGAGGCTTTGATTTCACATGTTTTTAAATCTGCACTTGTTCATTCCTCTGACAGGACAAAAGCCAGCTGCAACACCAAAAAAAGTATTAAAATCTATCAAAAGGGCTTAAAATGGATGAAAATTTACCTGTTTGAAATAATGCTGGTATAACCATTAGGAAAAGCATAAATTTATCTTCTTCTTGTTGGAGAAGCCTTCAGGGAATTAATAATGGGGTCGGCCTGAATATAGAAAATATCACACCATGAGATACTTTAGGCCTTTAAATAGTTGAAAACATTATCAAGCCTTTCCTAGATAAAGAAATAGAAGAGCATTATGAACAATTTTTAAAATCAACCTTCTAAATACTATTTATCTTTGGTGTTTTCAGCAAGCTTCAAGGACTCTGAATTCCTGTGGCGCTGAAAAAAGGCAGTGAACTCATGGGAAGCCAACTGTAGCTCTTATTTTCTTACATGCCTAAGTATGTATTGTGGACTTTTTATAAAAAATGTCAAAGTCAAGACCCGTTTGTTTTGTACACAAATAAACTTTTACAGGAAAAGACACTGGTGTCACTTTAGATAAAATGTAAAGTCAGAGTGAAAAACAGCTGGCAAAGCATAAAAAAAGGTTCAGTGGAGGAACCAGCTGTATCAAACAGGAAAGGAACATCTTTAAAAAAGAAGAATTAAAGATAAGGAGCACTGGGATAGCTGGTTATCTGCAAGGAGCCTGGAATGGGGGTAGGATTTTGCTTGGGAAACATCTGTGGGTGTTCCATGGCTGCAGCAGCTGTTTGCAGATGGTGTTAGGCAGACAGAAGGAGTGGTAAAATCAAGGACACGATCCTGTAGAACTTCTGGAGAAGGCTGGGAGGAGGAAATCTCGGTGGAGGAAAGTGGGAAGGAGTGAAACTGAGGCAGAAGCTGCTCCGGGTGTTTGTGGGCACGGAGGGCAGAGCAGGGTACCCCAAAGAGCCCACACCAGGTGTGCCACAGGGGCTGTTCCACAGCCTGCTGTGCTGGCACTGCCCAGGGCAGGGCTGTAAGTACAGACTGTAATGCTGGCTTCTCACAAATACTAAAAAAAAATTATTCTATATGTATAATGTGAAAGTAACTTTGCTATACAGTTTTTATTTCTGCTGTTAACTAAACTTAGACATGGTATGGAAACAGCTGATACACTTATGCTTGTGATAACTGAACTGCCTGCTCAGCTGGGATAACACCCCATGAATGTGTGATGAAGACCCCTGCTGCTATCAACACCTACTGTCTGTAAAATTATAGACCAAAATGCAGACTGAAGTGATAAAAATGGACTGAAACCACAGCAGGAAATGTGCATGCTCTGGAAAGGTGGACCAGATGCTAAACACTTCTTAGAACATGCAAGCTAGTTTGGGAAAAGTTTAAATATGCATAATTATGAATATGCAGTAGGCTGATGCAATAGAAAAAGTATGTTAAGGGTTTCTCTGAAATAGCAGGTGTGCTCCTGGCTGAATGCCAAGCACCCAGCTGTTACCTTTATTTTTGTATCCTACTGTCCTTTATTTGACTTAAATTTTACCAGGGAAGTGAACCTCGTTTTTCACAGCAGGAACGAGGAGGGACAGCGGGATACGGGCTCTGAGGGGACAGCAGGACTGGGAGGGAAGCGGGGTCAGCTGAGGATTTAAAACTGCTCTGTGAGGGGATGGCAGCGGAGCTCTGAGCTGTGGCATGGAGAGGGACCATACACTTTGCAGAGGGATGAAATGACAGGGGAAAACCATCCCTGCTGATGCCAGGAGGCCACTGAGGGGAGGGAAAAGGCGAGGCCGGGCCGGAGAGGCCTCGGCCCTGAGGGGCCGCCCGCCATGTTGTTTGCCGTCTCCATAGCAACCACCGCGCCGGCGCCGCCATCTTGTTTGCCGTCACCACAGCAACGCCCGCCATCTTGTCCGGCGCTCCCCCAGCAGCGCTCCCGGCCGGGCCGAGCCGAGCCGTGCCGGGACCATGGCGGGCGCAGGCCGGCTGCACGACCTGGACCTCAGCGCCGAGGAGGCGGAGCGGCTCCAGCGCGCCTTCCGCGACGAGCGCTTCCGCGCGCTGTTCGCGGAGTACGCGGCCGAGCTCGCCGACCCCGAGCAGCGCCGGCTGTACGAGGAGGAGGTGGCGGCGCTGGAGCGGGAGCGCGGCGTGGAGGTGCGCTTCGTGCACCCGACGCCGGGCTTCGTGCTGCGCACCAGCCAGGAGGGCTCCCGCCGCTGCTACATCAATGTCTGCAGCAACCCGCTGGTGGGCGAGCCGCGGGCCCGCGCCGAGCGCGGCGGGCAGCGCTGGGAGCTGCCCTACAGCCTGGCCCCGGGCCGCGAGGAGCTGCGCCCCGCCGGCCGCCGCCGCCTCCTGTACGACGTGGTGTTCCACCCCGCCGCGCTGCGCCTGGCCGCCCGCAGCGCCCGCTTCCGCCGCCTGCTCCGCGACACGGCGCTGGAGGCCGTGGAGAGCCACTGCGGGGTGCGCCTGGACCGCAACAACGCCGCCGTCCTGCGAGGCGTCTCCTACAAGGGCGTCCCGCAGGCGCCCGTCATCCGCTCCCCGCTGCCCGGCGGCGCCCCGAAGCCGCCCGAGGACGATGAGTCCATCCCATTTCTGAACCCCCTGCTGACCCCACCACTGATCCAACCTCTGAACCCCCTGAACCTGCCACTGAACCCTTTGCTGACTCCCCTGCTGAACCCGTCACTGATCCAGCCTCTGAATCTGCCACTGATCCAACCTCTGACTTCCCTGCTGAACCTTCCACTGATCCCATCTCTGAACCTTCCACTGATCCAGCCTCTGAACCCGCTACTGATCCAACCTCTGAACCCTCTGCTGAACCTGCTACTGATCCCATCTCTGACCCCCTTGCTGAACCCACCACTGATCCAACCTCTGAACCCTCTGCTGAACCTGCTACTGATCCCATCTCTGAACCCCTTGCTGAACCCGCCACTGATCCAACCTCTGACTTCCCTGCTGAACCTTCCACTGATCCCATCTCTGAACCTTCCACTGATCCAGCCTCTGAACCCGCTACTGATCCAACCTCTGAACCCTCTGCTGAACCTGCTACTGATCCCATCTCTGAACCCCTTGCTGAACCCACCACTGATCCAACCTCTGACTTCCCTGCTGAGCCTTCCGCTGATCCCATCTCTGAGCCTTCCACTGCTCCCATCTCTGAGCCCCCCGCTGGTCCAGCCACTGACCCCCGCTCCGGGCCCTTCCCCGAGCCCCGGGGCCCGGCCCTGCCCTGCTCCGGTGCCGCTTCCCTCACGGCCAGCCCGGAGCCGGCCATGCCCTCCGAGGGCCAGCCCAGCGAGATGGCCGCCTGCCCTCCCTTCCGTGCCCGGCAGGACGAGGTGTCCCTCACGCTGCTGCTGCAGGTGCCCGGCATCGAGCCGCAGAGCCTGCGCGGGGCCGTGGGCGGCCGCCACTACAGCCTCCGCTTCCGCACGGGCAGCGCGGCCTTCGGCCTGTTCCTGCGGCTGCCCGGCGCGCTGCTGTCCCCCGAGAGCGCCGTCAGCGTCTCGGCCCACAACGCCGTGCTGCGGCTCGCCAAGGCCCCCGGCAGCACCGGCCTCTGGGACAAGTTCAGCTTCGGCCCGGAGCCCTCCGCTCTGCAGGTAACGGTGCCACGGCTGCGGTGTCACCGGGCCCGGTGTGGCTGCTGGGTGCTGGCTCTGCCGCTGCTTCCTCCCGGAGCTGCTCCCGGGTGGCAGCGCCGTGACCTGTCTCGTACCAGGTCACGCCGTGGAGCTGGCAGCTTCACCCTTGGAATTGGAGTGACTTCTGCCTCCCGTACAAAGGTGTTTCTGAGGGAAGTTCTGGTGATGAATGAAAACGGTGCCTGTGTTCTCTATGTCCTTGGTGCTCACTTTTAAGGGCCTGTAAATGGCTCGTGCAGGCTGTTCACACAAAGAAAGCTGTTTATGATACACCAGGCTTACACACGTGTGCACACACCGTCATAAAGTGTAGGGGAGTGTCCCTGTGTCCGTGTTTTGGGACAGAATTCCCATTTACAGCCACAGGAACCCCCCCATAGTTCAGCCAGAGCAGAACAGCAAGCAGCAGCTGTGAACTGTCCCGCTTTGCTGGAGTAAATCATCAGCTGCTCTGTCTGAATGTGATCCTAATTAGTATTTTCTGGTTTTATGGGTTGTTGGGCAGTGATGTTCCCGTGGTGGGGTGGCTGCATCCACTGTCCCCAAAGGGATGCCCACCTTGTGACACAGTCCAGAATCACTCACACAAGTTTTGTGGAGAGCCACATTTCCTCTGTGAGCTCAGACTTGCAGACAGTTTCTCATGAGCAGGGATTAAAGCTGCACAGTTCTTGTGCAACCTTCTAGCCATGGGATTTGGAGTTTGGCTGGAGTTGAGAGCAATAAAACCCTCTGCAGTTTGGATCACGTGCAGTGGGATTGCATGTCCAGGAAGCTGGCAGGCTGCAAGCACATCCACTGGGATGGACTTGGCTTGGAGCAGTTTAATTGCTCCATCCCTCCAACTAGAAATGACCTGTGCATGATTTTGAAAGATATTTATCCAATTAGTGTTTGTGCAGCTGAGACCACGGTGAGTTTCCCATTTAGCAGCCACACACCTCTTACAGCAGCAATTCCTGTGAAGGAGGAGCTGATCATTTCGGGGAAGTATCAGAGATGATGAATTTATGGAGAACCACCCACGCTGGGCTGTTTGCAGAGCATTTCCTTTGCTTTTACCGGAGCAGGAGCCTGCGAGTCTGTGCACGTGGGGCCACAGAACACTCAGGGCTGCTGTTCACTGCCTGCTGCTGCCACGTCAGAAAAGCCACTGTGTAAACTCCTGCCTGTTTTCTGTGCAGGTACTGAGGCTGCCCAGGGAGTCCCCATCCCTGGGAACACTCAGAAAAACCTGTGGATGTGGCACTGGAGAGCATGGCTTAGGGGTGAACTTGGTGGTGGCTGCACTAGTGGTTGGAAGTTTGGTGTGTGGATTTGTTATTGCAACTGGAGGAGCATTTTTGTGATTGAAAGGTTTTAAAAGGCCACCCAGTAATGGGATTTTTGCCTTTGTGGGTTACAAAAACCCCTTGGATATGCTGATTTTATTATAAATTGCAAAATGTTTTGGGTGGAGTAGGAGAAGGAGATTGGGCATTAGTCATCACCTTCCTGGCCATTCATCCACAGCAGACTCCAAGAGATTCTCCTGGCCTCCAGTCCTTTTGGACACTGGGCCTGCAAATTGAAGCAGGAGAAATAAACTGAAGTCATTTGTCCTGTTTGCTTTTTTAAAAATCTGTGCTATTTCCCCAAAGTGCCTGAGAGCTGCACTCGCTGAGAGTGAAGGGAGAAAAATGAATATTTAATTAGAGCCACTATTACTTGCTGCCTTCTGGCCATTAACCATTTGTTCCTGGTCGCTTTTCTTCTACTTATGTTGATTCCTTCAATTTGTCTGAGGCCACCTTGGGGGCTTTTCTGCCTTGAGTCTCATTCTGTAAATCAGAGCTGTGGTGCTTGCACTGAGACCTGGAACGAGTCACATCAGTCACTGCAGAGTGCAGAGCACTGAGAGCCTGAAGGGAGCTTTGGGGCTGAGGCGAGCAGGATCTTATCCTGGAGCTGGAATTTTATCCAGGAGTAGGAATCTTTTCTTACAATCCTGGAGCAGGAATCTTATCCTGGAGCAGTACTTTTACCCTGGAGCAGGAATTTTATGCTGGATCAGGCATCTTATCCTGGAGCAGGAATCTTATCCTGGAGCAGTACTTTTACCCTGGAGCAGGAATTTTATGCTGGATCAGGCATCTTATCCTGGAGCAGGAATCTTATCCTGGAGCAGTACTTTTACCCTGGAGCAGGAATTTTATGCTGGATCAGGCTTATCCTGGAGCAGGAATCTTCTCCTGGAGCAGGATCTTATCCTGGAGCAGGACTTTTACCCTGGAGCCGGACTTTTAACCTGGAGCAGGAATTTTATCCTGAGCAGGAATCTTATCCTGGAGCAGGAATATTTTCTTACAGTCCTGGAGCAGGAATTTTACCGTGGAGCAGGAATCATATCCTGCAGCAGGAATCTTATCCTGGAGCAGGAATCATATCCTGGAGCAGGAATTTTATCCAGGAGTAGGAATCTTTTCTTACAGTCTTGGAGCAGGAATTTTATGCTGGAGCAGGAATTTTATCCTGGAGCAGGAATCTTTTCCTACAATGCTGGAGCAGGCATCTTATCCTGGAGCAGGCATCTTATCCTGGAGCAGGCATCTTATCCTGGAGCAGGAATATTTTCTTACAATCCTGGAGCAGGAATTTTATCCTGGAGCAGGAATCTTATCCTGGAGCAGGACTTTTACCCTGGAGCAGGAATTTCATCCTGAGCAGGAATCTTATCCTGGAGCAGGAATCTTTTCTTACAATCCTGGAGCAGGAATTTTATCCTGCACCTCCCAGTCTGCTTGTTGGTCATCTCCTCTCTCACAGCAGTGTTGCCAGAGGATGGTGCCTTGCAAAAGTGAATCCTGGAATGGTTTGGGTTGGGAGGGATCTTAGTGCTCAAGTTCCATGGACAGGGACACCTTCCTCTGTCCCAGGTTGCTCCAGGCCCTGTCCAGTGTTTTTAACAGCTATGGAATTCCTGCTCTGCTCCATTCTGGGAAAGCCAAGGGTTGCTGTGGTGTTCCATGGAACAGATTATTCCTCCCTGGGTTAGTTCAGAGTCTGTCCCTCCTCGTTGTGCCATGCCATGGTGGCTGTTCCTCCTTGTCCCATGCCATGGTGGCTGTTCCTCGTTGTGCCATGGCATGGTGGCTGTTCCTCGTTGTCCCATGCCATGGTGGCTGTTCCTTGTTGTCCCATGCCATGGTGGCTGTTCCTCCTTGTCCCAAGCCATGGGGCTGCCTGCCCCCATCACTCCCATTAATGCCAATTCCTCCTTGGAAGCTGCTCTGATCCACGTGCTGGTAGAAGAACGAGTTGAGCTCATCCTCAGAACACCATGCTTGCAAGAGAACTTCAAGAGCTGCTTTTCCTTTTGCAGTCAGCAGTGGCTGAATCCCTGTGCTGAAGAGGATCTATTTAGAGCTCAGTTTCCATAGATGCCGAGCACTTGGAATTCCCACCCCAGCAAGTGCCTCTTTTCAGGAAATCTTTGCAGTGCCCTGCTCCTCCTTGGACTTTCACTCCTTGGCCAAACCAGAATGTCCACACTGCAGCTGGACTGGATGATCTTGAAGCTCTTTCCATCCTCTTGATTCTATGACTGGTGATGGCGACCAGAAATCCTATAAAAATAAAGATTCCATAACTTTGAATGTTGTGAGCTTAGGGTCACATATTTCAGGGGTTCAAAAGCCACCTTTGTCACTGCACTGGTGCTCAGTCGCTGCAGCAGAGACCACAGTGCTGATCCTTCTTCAGGCCTTGCTCCAGGCCCTGTTTTTCCAGGGAATGATCTCCTGACCTGCAGAAGCTGCCTGATTTTCCCACTGCTAGGATCTCTGCTCTTTGCCTCGAAATTCCAGCCATGGGCTGTGCTCTCCCCACTGCTCTTCATTGCACTTCACCCTCTATAACCTTCTACACCTTTTGCTTAAATCCTGGGAATTCAGGCCTGGGAAACTCCAGCATCAGAGAGTTCCCCTTCATTTCCAGACAACACAGCCTGCGGAGAAAATGATGGAGGAGGAACTGTTGGGAGTTAAATAACCATTAATACAATTTGTGAGCCTGCCAGGCAGGGCTTCTGAGAACATGTCCCAGTGTGTCCTGGTTTATGGTAGTGCTGGAGCTGGGCAATTATGAAAATTGTGCCTTTGGAAAGCACTTGGAATGTCTTGGAATGTTTGGCCTCCTGGGGTTAAATGCTCGATTCCTAAGAGAAATAAAAAGCAGTTTTCTGGGGGTGTACTGAGCTGCTGAGACTTGGGGGCTCAGTTCTTGGAGCATGTGAAACAATTGGCAGGGAATTCATTCTGCACTTCTGGGGTCATGTGTGTTATTTTCATGGGATTAGAAAAAGGCTGCTTCATGCAGGAATTCCCGTCTGGGCCGATCCACACCCTTCCTGCCCTCCTCAGGGGCCTGCAGTGGGTTTGTTCAGAGGATGTGTGCTCATTCCTCTGGGCAGTTCCCCCTGGGTACCCCTGGCTGGGCAGGGAGTTGCAGCCAGCCCATCCCTTTCCTAAAAGACCCTGTCAGATCTCGTGGAGAATATTAGGATTTAACTCACATAAACCCCCACGGGGCTCCAGAGAGCAGCAGGGAGCAGAGGAAAACAGAGGAAATATTTCCTCTGCTTTCCTATGCATTGCTTTTTTCTTTTCTTTTTTTTTTTCCTCCCCTACATTTACAGGCTGAAAAAGATTATATTGAACATTCCTGAGGAGTTCATGGTTGGAGCTGGGTCTGAGTTAGGCTGTGTGTGAGGGATCCAAATGGGAATTGCTCAGAGATAGGGAAGTTTTGTTTAACTTTCCTGGGAGTGTTGAGGCCTCCATGCAGGATGTTCTACATGGGAGTGATTTTTCTGTTTGGCACAGCCACCAGTGCCTGGTGAAGGAGACCCTTTGGAAGCTCCTGCTGCTTTTTCCTTCAGAAAGCAGTGGGTAAAAAAAATGTGGAGCTGTTGAAGCAAGTCCAGAGAGGCCATGGAGCTGCTCCAAGGGCTGGAGCTGCTCTGGAGCCAGGCTGGGAGAGCTGGGAATGTTCCCTGGAGAGGAGAAGGCTCCAGGGAGAGCTCAGAGCCCCTGGCAGGGCCTGAAGGGGCTCCAGGAGAGCTGCAGAGGGACTGGGGACAAGGATGGAGGGACAGGAGCCAGGGAATGGCTCCCACTGCCAGAGGGCAGGGATGGGTGGGAGATTGGGAACTGGGAATTGCTGGCTGGGCTGGAATTGCCAGAGCAGCTGGGGCTGCCCCTGGATCCCTGGCAGTGCCCAAGGCCAGGCTGGACACTGGGACACCCTGGGACAGTGGGAGGTGTCCCTGCCATGGCAGGGCTGGCACGGGGTGGGATTTAAGTTCCCTTCCAACCCAAACCATTCTGGGATTCTGGGATGATTGAGTGCCCCTAGAAGAGGCTGGGGCCTGGTGAGGTGATCTGGGCTGATCCAGCCTGGCCTTGGGCACTGCCAGGGATCCAGGGGCAGCCACAGCTGCTCTGGGCACCCTGTGCCAGGCCCTGCCCACCCTCCCAGCCAGGAATTCCCAGTTCCCAATCTCCTATCTACATTTCCCTACGTCACTTGTGTGGAGCTGGAGGTGGCAGAGCTCTGTTGCTGCTGGCACTGGGACCATGTGGAAATCTCCCCAAGGACTGGAAGTGCCCCCTTGGGCCATGCTGGGCTGTCCTTGCCCTCTCTGAGCTCAGAATTTGAGCTCTTGTGGATAAAAGTGTTCCTTGGTTGGCAAGTCAACCAAGCATGGAGCCCTGAGAGCCGTGTTGGGACGTGTCAGACGTGGATGTTTCAAACCTTTGCCACCTTTCATGGAGAAATCCATCCTGGAGAGCTGTTTTGCTCTCATTTCCAAGCTATTTGAAGTTATAATTTTCAATTTCCAAGCTACTATAAAGACTTATTGTAATAGTCAGGGGTTGCTTCTAAGAAGATGCTGCTGGAAACTGGGGCTGTTGAATGTAATCCTCCAGCAGTTTATTTTTGGTTCAGTTAATTCTGTGCTCAGCATTTCAAGACTCTTGGCAAGTTTTTTGGGAGGTCAGAGAAGGACAAAGAAGGAGAACACAACAAACTTATTATTTCACATTTTTCAAAGCAATCCCTTTCCCAAGCTACATTAAGGACCATAATTAGTTTGCTTCTGCTATAAAACAAACTAATTTCTGAACAGTCTTTAATTGGTAGCTGCATTTTGGGAATACCATGACTACACAAAACAGTTATGTCAGGAAACATTATTAACCTGCTGATGAAGCTCATCAAAGCTTCTTTGGAGCTGTTTCATCTTCACAGTCATGAGCACCTCAGAAAAGTTTTCATTTCACTACAGGTACCAAGACTTTGAGCTTCAGATTCTCAGCTCTCAGAGCTGGTTTGTGCTGGGATCCCACAAATGCAGAGGTCAGGAAATCCAGGTCCTTTCCCATATTGGCATCAGTTGGGTTTTGATGAGAGAGGTTGTGGCTGCCCCATCCCTGGAAGTGTCCAAGGCCAGTTTGGATGGGGTTTGGAGCAGCCTGGGACAGTGGAAGGTCCCTGCCTTGGAGCTGGATGGGATTTAAATCCCTGAGATTCCCTGATCCTCTCATTACAGGAGCCACCAAAATAATTTAAGCTTGAAATCTGTCCTGCTTTTCAAACTTGCAGCCTGCGTGGGAGGTAAGTCTGGATGGAAAGTGTCTTCAGTTTGGAGGAATTAAAGCAGAATAAACCCATTTGGGTGCTGAGGGAGCCAGGAGGGGAGCAGCTCGGCTGTGAGACACAAGGATGGGTTTGAATGATGAAGTGTTCCAGAAACCACAGTCAGCCCTGCTAAGGTTGATGTTAATTTGGTCTCAGTTTAGTCACAAATGGGAAAAATGAATGTGTACCAAACAGCAGATGACAGTGTGTGCAGGGAAAAACAAATTAAATTCAAAGTTGCTAAGAGAGCATCATAAATACCAGAAAATAAACGGCTGAAATTGAAGAATTATTTTACAGGGTCATTGAAATCAGCTGCAGATGGTTGTCCTCTGTTTGCTCTGGCTTGGAAGGCAGAGCAGGCTTTAGAATAAATTCCTGAATCATTTTTTTCCAAGGTCTGTGCTCTGATAACATCTGCAGTAATATAAATGCCTCGGTGTGTGCTCCCCGTGAATGCAAAGTCTGAGTTACAGTGCCTGGTGGAACAGGCTAATGATAATCACCTTCCTGATAACAAACACACCCCAGGTCCTTGATTTATGGCAGGCCGTGGGTAGGGATGGGATAACATGGTAAATACTTCTGGGAATTCAGTGTTGGGCTGGGATGAAACTTGGAAAAATTGGTTTGGGCAGTGAGTCAGAATTAACGGAGCAGCAGCACAAGGGGTTGCTTTTTATCCTCATTTAAAGCACTGATTAATCACAGAATTGTGGGATATTCTGAGCTGGAAGAGACCCACAGGGATCATCCAGGGCAGCTCCTGGCCCTGCCCAGACCCCAACAACCCCACCCTGGGCAATCCTGGCAGCTCCTGGAGCTCTGTCAGCCTCGGGAATGTCACCATTCCCTGGGGAGCCTGGGCACTGCCAGCACCCTCTGGGGAAGAGCCTTTCCTGATAATAGACCTCCCATTCAGTTTTTGTTTTTAAATTGTATTTTCTGTGAAGAAATCAAATTCTTTTGCTTTTAATCAGGAAGAAATTCTCCAGAAAGATTCAGAGCGTTTGTTGCCAGATTTCAAATCCTGATTGCTCCGAGGAGGAGAGGGAGGGTGTCCCTGACACAGCCACAGAGGCAGATTTTCAGAGGGAAAAGAGGTTATTTTCCTCATTTTATGGAGGAAAAGTAGGATGGGACTTGGTGCAGCCTGGTCTAGTGGAAGGTAATGAAAGGTCCTGAAATAAATCCCATGGCAGGGGTTGGAATGAGATGAGCTGTGAGGTCCCCTCCAACCAAACCATGCTGAGATTCCTGACTTGCATTTTCAGCTGGGTGAGGAGGGTTGTGCTTTGCTGTCCTTGGAAGTGCAGGCAGGGCACCAAAATCCCAAATCCCCTGCAGGGAGGCTGAGCTGTGTGTGCTCTGTGGGCCAAGCAGCCCAGGGCAGAGCTGGGAATGCTGAGCTGCCCCAGGATGGGGTTCAGGAGCTCGTGGTGCTGCACAGATTTTGTCTCTGCAGCCCCTGCCTTGTTCTGAACTCTGCAGAGCATTTCCACAGCCCGAAGCTCTGGCAGATCCCTCTCTGGCAGGCAGGAGAGGATGCAGCACGAGGGAATAAGAATTTTAGGCTTTGCATGCAGAAATGCAAGAAGGCGGGATGTTCTGAGAGGGTTTTCAGTCAGGGCAGCTCTGCTGCACTTTAATCTCTCCCCAAACCATCCCAGCATCCAGTGCTGGCTCTTTGCCTGGATTCTAATCTTTCTGGATAGAAAATGAATCCAATCCTCTGCCTTGGAAAACCAACAGTACGTGTGTTATGACTTTCCATATTGTGATTTCTAATTTAACTAGTGGAAAAAATAGGACTCTGGCTTATTTTTGCAGTCCTGGTTTGGTTTTTTTTTCAAGATGACAGTTAAATTTTGTACCTCAGACACAATGTGACATCTGGCTGTGCATAAGGCTCCATCCACAGGGGGCCAAAAATGTGCAGAATTGCCTTTTTGCTTCTTGGTCTGCAAGATGTCAGTGATAATTGAATTTAACTTTCACTGGATTGACAAGAAGGTTGAACTGGACCGAGAAATTGAAAAGTATGACTTAATGTGGAAGGTTTGCAACTTGTCCCTGTTATTTCCAATTAAATAAAGAAGGTAATTCCCAGAACCTAAACCCCTGCTCCAGGTCAGACCATTTTTATTTTGTCTGTCCTTCCGCTCAGCCTGCACAGATGATGTGTGAATAACACAAGGACAGGGAGAGCTCTGCAGTTCTATGAAACAGCCCCTCCAGGATATATTTTAGGACCTTTAATTACCTGTAACTGATTTAAATCTCTAAACCCGTAGCAACACGTTTCAGGTTGTTTATGGACAGCCTGGAAACACACCCCAGGCTGTGTCTCTGCCTGTGGATACCTCTCCTTTTTGTTTTTTTGGTTTTTTTTCCAACTGGTTTGTCTGCACGGAGATGGGAGCAGCCTCAGTGCTGGGTGTGGATGCATCCAGCCCTGAGGGTTCCAGATCTGATCCTGCAGTGAAGATCCTGCAGTGCCCCTCCAGGGAGGTGTTTGTGTTTCCCTGCAGACAGCCAGGCCACAAACCCACAGCAGTCTGACACCTTCCTGGGCTTGAGACAGGTGGAACGAGGTTGGTACAGATCATTTTTCAGAGAGAGTCTGCGCTATGTTTTAGTCACCCACCCAAAGAGAGAAATAATATTTCCTTTCTATTTGATACGATGCAGATTTGCACTTTCAAGCAAAATTAGCTGAGCACTGGTTTTAATTAATTTCACCTCATTCTTTGAATGTCTGGCTTAGAATTTCTCTGTCAAGACTTGAGTGTGCTGTGAAACTTGGGAATTGCTGTCCTGGCTTTCTTTGCAGTGAGTTTTTAGCCCCAGTACCCCTGAAGTGTAGCACAAAAAGAACATAACCTGCTGTTTTCTGTCTTTTTCTTTAGGAGAGATTGTTTGTCAGTGAGGAGAACGTTGATGGATTTCTAGGCACTGCTTTCTGCCCTTCCCCTTGCTCCCAATCAGCCCTGGAAAGCCAGCCATTAATTGAAGTGCTGGATGTTACTGAGGACAGAATTCAAATCAGGGTGGAGGTAAGGATCCAGCAGCAGCACAGGCTGATTTATGTTCTTCAGCAAGATCCTGTCAAATCCCACTGAAACAGCTTGGTTCCTGTTTTGTCCTGAGGAAGCAGGGAAAGCCCAGGACTGGAAATGTCACTTTTCAGAAGTAAAACTTGTCTTTGTGCCATTTCATGTGACCAAAGGATTGAAACCTCCTCTGTTTCATTTGGAAGGTGCAGAGCTGTGATCCAGCCATTTAAAAAGTGTTTTTTCCTTTCAGGAATAGCTCACCCACTCAGCCTTGTACAGGTAGAGAAATCCTAGAGGGTTTTGTCTGGGAAGAATCCTGCCTCATCTTTATTCAGTCCATGTATTGGAATACTTGGTGGGTTCCTGTTGTGTAGATAATTAAACATGAGGCTATTAATCTTAAACACTGGTCTCAAATTCAATCCTTGTAGTTTGAGGCCTCACTCAGTCTCTCCTTCCCCTGTCCAGAACAAGCCTGGCTGTTTCTGGGATCTGCCAGGGGATTAAACTGGCAAAATAGATGGACACATGAAGAAATCAAAATGTTCATTTTGTCAGGAGCAAAATGTGAGGCAAACCCCCCACATTCACTGGGATTTCTGGGTAGGCACTGCATCCAAAATTCAGAATAAACTCTTCCAGAAGGGAGCATAAAAAGCAGAAAGCAGCAGGTCCTGCTGTGGCCATGGGCTGGAGACTGCAGCTGGGTTAATGTTTAGCTGGGTCACTGGGAGGCGAGCTCAGAGGAAGCACACGACCTCTGGAGCTGGGCTGGAGCCTGAGCAGTTCCCAGAGATAGGGGATCCAGCTCAGCTCTCACAGCTGCTGTGGGCTGGACATGAAAAATTGAAATTCTAAGTGTTGGAGAGCAGATGAGTCCCTTCTGGAACCTTAGGGCAGCTGAGATAGCTTAAATCATCCCATTCCTGCTCCTGTGTGGGGCCAGCAGTTGGAGTTTGTGGGAAATAAAGGTAAGAGGATTTTTAGAAAGTTGTGAAAGTAGGTTTTAAAAATAGAAAGAGTAGAGAATTTAGAGGTAGTTGTAGTTGTAAAGTTTGAAAGTAGAAAAGGTATAATAGTATAGTAAGTAAGGATATTAAACAATAGTTTGAGTTTTAGATTTGGTTAAGGTGGATTTTAAGATTGTAGAAAAATATGTTTCATGTGCTATTGGCTAGAAAGTTTTTAAAATGCTCTGTAACAGAAAAATCTTTGCCACTAACCAGATGTAAACTATTACCATCTTTCAATTATCTCAACCATATAATAAGACTGTAATACCACAATAAAACTCAAAACCCATATCCCAGCAGTCCCATCCCATTTATACAATCTGCAGCACAGAGCTGATGATTCCTGAGGGTCCCTTCCAACTCAGGGCATTCCATGACCCTGTTCTGTGGGAGAGCTGTCCCGTTTGGAAAGGACTCACTGGAGTTTCCTGAGTTTCCTGTGGTTTGGGGCTGTGAGAGGGAGACTCTGTCTCTGATTCCATGAATCCAGCTGCTCTTGGATAGATCCTGCCTGCTCCTGGCTCTGCACTGACAGGGACCTATGAATGACCAGCTGTTCTTTGCCAAAACTCCCAGAAATGGTGAAACGGGGCAAGTGCTCTTTGGACAGCACCTCTCCCAGCTCCTCCTCTCCCGAGGCAAACTGCAGTTCCCAGATTAGCCCCACAGGCCAGGAATTTCCCTAACTGCAAGGCTCCAACCTTGCAACAAGAGCTGAGATCCCCTGGCTGGTTCTGCGGCCGCTGGGATTTGGGGATTTGGGGATTTGGGGACCAGGCTGGGTGTGGTGAGTGGCTGGGGCTGGAAGGGGAAGCAGGAAACCCTGGGGAAGCAGAAGGACCTCCCTGCCCCTCATTCCCACACACCAGACAAGAGCAGGCAAACCTCAGCACCCGCTCACTTGGATTCTGGAAGGAGAATCCTGGAAGGAGAATCCTGGAATCACAACCTGATTTGGAACCTTAAGGCTCCAAATCAGGCTTCCAGGGACACTTCCCACTATCCCAGTGGAGCTGAGCTGTTGGAGAAACAAATCTCTCGTGTCTTTGCGTGCACAGTTTGTTCCAGCTACAAAATAATTCATTTATTTCCTTGACAGCCACAGGAACGTGAGGGACAAGGAGCACTTGGCAGCTCAGGGGGAGCCCACAGCCACAACCCCGAAACCAAGGCAGAAACAAAGCGTCCCGCAGCCGAGGGAGCTGCTGCAGGAGCCAGCCCAGCTCCCACAGCCGCAGCAAGGGGAAGAGCAGGCTGTGCCTCACCCCATTGTCTGCAGCACGAACCTCCTGCCACCGGCTCAGCGAGTCCCGGCGGATCCGGCCGAGCGCAGCCCGATTTAGAAAGTGCTGCAGCAGCAGCAGGCACAGCCCTGGGCCTGGGAGCAGCAGCAGGGCTGCAGGGCCGTGGGGATGGGCCTGGGGAGCAGGGGGCAGCCCCGGGGCCGGGCAGCAGGGCAGGGTCCCCCGTTCTGCGGGAGGTGAACCCCGAGGACGGCAGCGTGCGGATCCTCCGCGAGCACCGCGCGCGCTGCCCGCTGCGCTTCCACAGCCCCCTGCTCTACGAGCTCGACTAGCCTCTGTGTTTCACCATTTCCTTCTCTTGTTCCCTGCCTGTTCTGACCTCCACGTGCTGCTGCAGGACACAGAACCCACGAGTTCTGTGGTGCAACAGCACAACTTTCCATTCTTAACAGTTTAACAATTTTCTAATCGCATCCATGGTAATAATTTTACTTATAAGAAAAGTTGCTGTTGGAGGTGACTCTGAGCTCCTGGAAAAAAAAAATGTATCTTTATTGTTTACATAAATTTTTTTATTCTCTTCCCACGTTTCAGGGATTATTTGTATATATCCTCAGTCTAATGGCTCCCTCGGGAATTGAGCAGTAGTCATCATTTTTCAAACCTTTCATTTGGTGATAACTGCGGGATTAGACTCGCAGTGATTCTTAGCAATCAAATGAAATTTCTAATTACCCGGAGAAGTTCTAATTAGTCTCCTAGAAATAATCAACATTTATACCCTGTATTCCATCCCAGTGCTGTGCTTCAGATCTGCAGCACCCAGATATCCCCCAGCTGAACAAATTCCATTGCACAAGAACATCCTCTGGGTGCATGTCTGCTCTCAAGTATTTACAATTGGTGAAATGGATTCTCTTTAGCCAGATTTAGATTTATTTTTCTCAGTTTCCCTCGAGTTTCAGCGTTTCTCCCCTCCCTAAAGCAGAATAACCAAGAGAACACATCTAATAATAAATTTCCTGTTCCCCTTTCTCACTGCTGCTGAACCAACTTCTGGTTTTGTTTGAGAGGTGCTTTAATTTTGCCTCGTTCCAGGGCTGCTCTGTCACATTTCTGTGTGAAACACCAGTTTGTGTGTGTGGTTTCAGAGTTCAGCAGCAGCCACAGCTGCCCAGGACGCTGCCCTGCCCTCCCAGGTGGCACGATCCTGCTGGAGCTTGGCTGGGCTCAGCTTAACCCTGGCAGCTTTTTGGGACAGGTCTCCAAGGGTGAGGCACCAGCACAGCTTCAGCAGCAGCCCCGACCAGTGGAACAGCACACGGAGCAATTACCTTGCAAAACTGTGGTTAAATAACCCCTGGAAAAAAGCAAAAAGCAGCATTTTTTTTGGTCTGACATATTTCTGTGCGCTACAAAAGCTGCTGGGTGCTTCTGGCACAGCTGAGTTCACAGAGGGGTGGCACTGAAGCTGCTGGAGCGTTCACAGACAGCTCTGTGGCCCCAGCTCAGCCCCTTCCCACCACCCAGTTTTCACACAGCTGATTTGAAACAACTTCTTAAAAAAAATCCAAACAAAAGAGATGTTGTGCCACCAATTTGCTACTCTTTTCTGCCTCAATTAATGAGTATCATTAAAAATTTAATGAAGTTAAATGCACACTGCTAGAAGGAGTGATGGCACGTGTCCAGCCCTCAGGATTAAAGAAGAGAAACTCCCCCCTCCTTCCCATCCTGACTTTTTAGGAACACGAGGTGACATCATCTTTTTGCTGATAATCAAGAACTTCTCTAGGCTTACAAAACAACGGCATTTTTATTTTGGCAGAACTAAAAAAATCATATATTTATCTACATCGTAGTAAAAACAATGAGATTTATTTTCTTTTTTTTTTTTCATCCTTCATATATTCATCGACACAGCGCAACCGGACCGGGACTCGGGTGTGAGATGACCCCGGGTGGGACCCCAGGCACCACCAGAGCTCTGAAGCACCAAAAAAGATGCACTTAAAAGTGTTCTCCTCCTCCTCCTCCTCCCAGCAAACACAGCAGCAGGTCACTTTTTGCGTAGGGGCTGCAGCACGTCACCCGTTTCCAAAACGTGGTTGCCAAACATGAGAGATTACTATTTTGGGACACCTTTAACAAGAATGTTTATTCATATTAAAGCAGAAACCAACTGATAAATGCTGTTTATACACGTGTGTGCCTGGCAGAGACACAACGGGACAAGTCAAGGAGAAAAGGCGGCGCGAGGAGGCTCCTCACTGGAGTCGGCGGTAGCTCTTGCAGAGCTCGTGGTCCCTGATGTCCCCCCAGCCTCCGTTCTTGACGTGAGGGGACAGGGGAGCCATGGAGTACCTTTTACTGACGCTCATCGCCTCGGGAAACAGGTACTGTTGGTTGCTGTTCAAGAGAGAATCGATTTTGGCACTCTGGGTGGACGGTCTGCACGATTTCTTGTGGTGCATGCCGCAGTCCCCCGTGTGAAAAATCCTGGGGATTTCGGGGACCAGCACTTTCCAGAACTTTGGAAGACACGAGACAGTCAAGTGCTGCAGAGTCCAGTCCCAGTTGTAGTCATCGTAGGTGCAGAAGGCATCCGTGCACTCGATGAGCTTCTGGTAGGTGTCTCTGCCGAAGGCCATGCCCATGTTGTGCTCCGTGGACTTCCACGTCTTCAGCTCCACCTTGTCGGCGCGGCCGGCGAAGCCGCCCCGCACGGGGCTGTAGGTGCCCAGCGACACGAGCTGGCACTCGGGGCACTCTGTCTGCCGCAGCGCCCAGAGCCGCTTGAGGACGTGGTAGAAGTCGGGCGCCAGGTAGTGATCCTCCTCCAGGAAGAGCACGGGCCCCGCGTGCTGCCGCAGCGCCCGCACGCGCTCCCACACGAAGTGCAGCTTCCACCACCAGTGGTGCTTGGTCTGCGCGAAGCGCGCCTCGCGGTAGTGCCCGAACGAGTCCGGGAACTCGGCGTTGAGGCAGCCCAGCCGCAGCGCCGCCGCCCTGCCCACGTCGCGCGGGCAGTCGCGGGGGTCGTGCCCCGGGAACTCGCGCGGGTACAGCTGGATGCTGAACGGGAAGAACACCTGCAGCACCGGGCAGAAGTCCACGCGGGCCGCCAGCCGGTTCAGCTCCTCGGCCCACAGGTCGTGGCTCAGCACCAGCAGCACGTTCTCCACGCCCGGCGCCCGCCGCAGCGACTCGAGCAGCAGGCGCAGGTGCTCGGCGCGGTCGTGCACCTGCACCACGAGCACCACGTCGGGCCGCGCCGGGAAGCGCCCGGCGTTCCGCACCGGCTGGTCGAAGTTCAGCCGGTACACGAGCGAGCGGTAACTCAGCGTCGCGTTCTCGGACAGCGCCTCCGCCGCCGCCGCCACCACGGCGGACGACGCGTTGTTGGCGGGGCGGCGCGGCACCGGCGGCGGGAGCTCGCTGACCCGCGGCGGCTCCCCGGTGCTACCGGGACCGCCCCGCTGCTGCTGCTGCTGTAGCTGCTGCTGCCGCCGCCGCCCGCCGCCGCCGGTGCCCCAGAGCGCCAGGGCGCAGAGCGCCAGCGCGCGCGCCGCCGCCGCCCCGCGCGCACACGTCGCCGCTCGCCATTGGCCGCCGCTGCGGCGACCCCGGCCTCGGTATTGGACGGGGGAGACGTCAATCAACTGTTCGGCGCTTCCGCCGCGCGGTGGGGGCCGCGCAGCCGCCGGCGCCGCACCGCGCTCTGATTGGGCGGCGGCGGGAGGGGGCGGGGCCAAGGCGTGAGGGGAGGGCGGGAAGGAGCAGAGCAATCCCTCGGGATTGGGAAAAAGGGAAAAAACCGCTGGAAATGCAGGGAAAACACGCGGAAACCAGCCCGGAGCCGCGGGAGTAACCTGAAGGATGAGCGAATACTGGGTCTGAAAAGCAGCACGTTAAAAGCACTCTGCAATGACACCAAAAGGTGAGAAATCCCTCCAGAAATGCAGGAACAAGGTAAAATTATTTTAGGATTGGAAGAATAAAATAAAATAATTCTAATATGGAAAGAAAAAAATTCTAAGAGTTACAGAATAAAATAATTCTAGATTTGAGAGATTAGTATTATGAACCCATTCTTGAATGGTAAGAATTAAAAATTCAGATTAATTCATTCTAGAATCGCAAGTATGAAATTACTCCAAAGTTTTCAGCATTAATGCAGGAGTAAAATAATTCCAGAACTGCAAGAACAAGATAAGAAAACCACCCTAGATCATGCAGGGATGGGGACTCCATCGGTGCCCATGCCAAACCCTGTTTCCACGAAGGAATTTTCCCAATATCCAAATTAAACCTCCCCAGCTGGCACTCAGTGTGCTGCCTCCAAGCCATCACGTGTTCCAGGGAATGGGATGCCTAAAAACTTCTCAAAATAAAATAACTCTAGATTTGAAAGATTAGGATTATGAACCCATTCTTGAAAGGTGAGAATTAAAAAAATTCAGATTAATTAATTCTAGAATCACAAGTATTTTCCCCTGCTGTTCCCATCTCCCAGTCATGGAGCAGCTGACAAGGCAGGAAATAAAAGAATCTGTGGATATGCTCAATATTTTGGTGTCACCCCCAGAAAAATTCCAGCAGTTAATTCCTGGAACACACTGGCTGGAAACCCCTCAGACAGAACACAATCCACACGGGCACGGAAGGGTTTCAAAATTTAATCAGTCAACACAGTGAAACAAATCCCAGAATTGTTAAACAGGAGGACTAAGAAACAGTTTCAGGCACATATTTAGAAAAAAAAAGACATTTCTGGTATCACAAAGAGAGAAACCCCAAACCCAAACATTTGCTGTGGTAAAAACCCAGCAGTGCTGGTCCCTGCTCCAGTGGGAATGTTGTAACAGAACCTTGGGAAAAAGAAGCACCTGGGATTCCAGAACCCCTCTGGATGTGATTCCTCCTCCACTGGCACGAGGGCAGTGCAGTCCTGGCCCTGGCAGAGCTCGGGGCTCCCGTGGGGAAGCCTGGGATGAATTTACATTCCCTCGGTCCTTCCAAGAGGGAACAGCTCACCCCCAAAGGCAGAAGCCCCGCAGCAGGAGAAGGGAAATACATTCACAGGAAGGCTCCCTGCAGAGCAACACTGCTCCCTGCTGCGAGCAGAGATGCCAGAGGGGGAGAGGCAGGGCTGATCCCCTCCCTGCCAGAGGGGACACGAGCCAGGCCAGGCCAGGCCAGGCTGCGTCCCCTCCCTGCCAGAGGGGACAAGAGCCATGCCAGGCCAGGCCAGGCCGTGTCCCCTCCCTCCCAAAGGGGACAAGAGCCATGCCACGCCAGGCCAGGCCGCGTCCCCTCTCTCCAAGAATGGGACAAGAGCCATGCCAGGCCAGGCCAGGCCGTGTCCCCTCCCTCCCAAAGGGGACAAGAGCCATGCCACGCCAGGCCAGGCCGCGTCCCCTCTCTCCAAGAATGGGACAAGAGCCATGCCAGGCCAGGCCAGGCCGTGTCCCCTCCCTCCCAAAGGGGACAAGAGCCATGCCACGCCAGGCCAGGCCGCGTCCCCTCTCTCCAAGAATGGGACAAGAGCCATGCCAGGCCAGGCCAGGCCGTGTCCCCTCCGTCCCAGCGGGATCTGTCTCCGGTGGCACCGCGGTGCCAGCAGCTGCTCCGTGCCCACAGCCCCGCCGTGCCTGCTGTCAGCCGTGGCTCTGGAGGTGCCTGTCCAGGAACTGGGAGTAGCAGTGCAGGGAGCAGAAGTAGCAGAGCACGGGCGCGTCGGTGCCGCCCATGTTGTCCACCAGCACCACGGTGTGCGCCACGTGGTGCAGGTTCATGGTCACCGTGATCTGGATGAAGCTGCTCAGGCACGCGCTCCCGCAGCGACACGTCTTGGCCACCTCCAGGTCCTTGCACAGGTGGGAAGGGAGCAGGTGGCAGCCGTAAGGGATCCTGTGGGGTGACAGGAGAGAGCGTGAGCTCGGCACACTCATCTGTGGCACCGCAGGGCACTCTGCTCTTTTCAAGGTAAAAGGAGCTCTTTCATTTCTGGCTCCAACATTTACAGATTTCCAAAAGTGACAGTGGACTGGAGGGGGACAGTGCCACCTCTCCAATGACACTGGACAAACCGACAGTCCATTACATGTCTCCTCCTTCATAAAAGAATGTAAAACAATAAGATATGTACAGAAAGTGTGTCAGAAAGTTCGTTACAAGAATGTAAGCATCAGAAGGCTTAGAAAATCTTAAAAAATCAGGACACCAGGACACTCAGAAAGCTTAGAAAATCTTAAAAAATCAGGACAACAGGACAGAGGCACCAGCCATTCCCAGGGCACATGATGCCCTCAGTTTTAGCTCTCATGTTTTCCAGACTCTGCACTGCACTGGTACAGAACCCTGAACTCCATATAAAGTGTCAGCAGCTCTCCTCACAGCTCAGGTACACAGAACAATCCTTTGCCAGCCCCAAAACCAAGGACACCGCTGCAGCTTCAGCCCCAAAAGTGTAAAAACAGCAAACTGAGAAGAGCAATCTGGGAAGGTGGGACTGCGCCACCTGGAGATGGAATTGGACAATGAACCCAACATGGAAATGGACCAAAACTTAAAAAAGTGTGAAAACTTGTGACTCAGGGTCCATCTGGGGTGCAGCCCTGGCTGGGCTCTTGTGCTGCCCAAGGTGCATCCTGTGAGGCCTTTTAATAAATCCCTGCTTTGTTCTTTAACTCTGCCCACCCTCTGTTCCAGGAGCCTCTCCAGGCATCGCACAAACATGGAAAACCACAGATTTGGGACCAAAATGCCACTTCCCGAGATTTTAGGAATGAAATTTCCAATTTTAGGACTGAAATGCCAACTCCTGAGATTTCAGGAATGAAATGCCACTTCCCAAGGCAGCTCCTAAGGACATGAACTCCAGGAGACACCCCAACAGGGAGCTCACAGCAATCCTGGCAGCCTGGGCCACAGCCAGCTGGGGAATTAGAAAGATTAAGAGTAATGAGAGAATTACAGGGAGATTAAGAATAGTGAGACAACTGGGCACGTTCTGTTCTTCCCTCACATTCCTGTGCCTCACCCTGGCCTGACACAGCAGCCACCATTTACTCCTGCCTCTTACACCCAGGAGCAGCAGTGTTAAAAATCAACTCAGAGAAAGCAGGAGATAAACTGGAGCCCTGCAGGCATGACATTAAAAGTTCTCCTGCTCTCTCCATCCATCGTGTCAGCAACGACATCCAGAGTTGGGAATGGGAATTGCTCCTTTTGGAATTTACAGACTGCTCCTTTTGGAATGTACTTTGGGGTACAAAGTAAATAATTCCCCTGAGGAATTCTGTCGGGTGGCTGAAGTGTGGGGCTGAGCAGTGCCCAGCTGGCACTCCAAACTCAGCACAGATCCCACTGACTCACATCCTGCCTCCACCTACACATTCCCAAGTCTTTCCACACACCATCACTCACACAGCTAAGACTTCTTAGGGTTTTTTTTTCCCACCTTAATTTCAGAACACCCTTTTTTCTGGGAAAAGCATAATCAAGAACTCTGGTACTTTCCCAGACTGATTCCCAAACATTATTTTTGCACCTTCTCCTTCTGTTTTGTCCCTTTCTCAAGGTTTTTACAGTAACTGGAATGTGGCCAGTGCAGAAGGATTTCTAGAGGTAGAAAAAAGCCTTAATATTTATATAAACCCACTGCAATTTATATAAAGCTGGGAAAGGAGACATGTGGGGTTTAATTATAAAATCAGCCAGGTCAGCAGTGGGTGATTTGGCCCAGAACATGTGGTGGCTCAGCTCTCTTCAGGGTGTGCCTGTGGATGCCTTTGGTGCAAATTTCTGCACAATTACCCCGGGTTTATGGGGCACTGCCCACCCTCAAGGCAGGAACGGGCACAGGATGCAGATCAGGGACACTTCCAGCCTCTCTCTCCTCCTTTTCTGTGCCAAATTTCTGTCTTTGTGCTCCCTTCCCACCCAGAGCAGGGTGGCAGCAGCAGCTGCTGGTACCTGGAGGCTCCTGGCACACAAAGGATCAGGGGTGCAAGTGGTGGAGCTGATAACAAACAGCAGCCTGGGAGGGTGGGATTTACTTGGTGAAATCATATTTTTTTAAATTACCTCAGAGCTGGGCTCTTTCAATAAATCAGAACACCCTCACTCCAACACCAAGGGAAATGAGGAGCCTAAGGAAAACCTATGGCAAGGGAAAGGCTGCAGAAGAAGTGGCTCAGGGTTGTAGAACTGTGTCTCTTTTCCCAAAGTTGGCCAAAAATATTCTGTTCATCTCTCTATGGTGGATGAGAACACTTCAATCTCTGCCTGTCCTTAAATACTTCCAAAGACACCAATTATCCTGATGACTTGGCAAGGGGAATTCAAAGGAGTTTTCATCTCCTGAAGTTAACAGTGAGAAAGGAGGCAGTGAGGGGGAAGGAGGGGACCTTGAAGGAGCGGTGCCAGGCGTGCCCTCCCTGCCTTACCTGTGATTGACGGTGGCCCTGGCAGCACACTCCAGCAGAGTCAGGGGGATCTTCAGCTGGATGTTGGGCACCAGCGGGTTGGGCTGCTCGAAAGGATTGCCAAAGAGATCCAGGTTGTCCAGGGAGAGCTTCCTGAAGTCGGAGGGCAGGAAGGGCAGCTTGTTGCGCGCGGCCGACAGGCAGCGCAGGCGGCTCAGCTGCCCGATGCGGCAGGGCAGGCGCAGCAGCGCGTTGTCGTCCAGCCGCAGCTGCACCAGGCCCCGCAGCTGGCAGAACTCCAGCGGCAGCGCCTGGATCTGGTTCTGGCTCAGGTCCAGCAGCTGCAGGGATTTCTGCAGGCCGGAGCTGCACAGGGCCGCGCTGAAGGCCTCCAGGTGGTTGTCGCGCAGGTCGAGCTCCTGCAGGCACACCAGGTCGCCCAGCGTGGCCGGCAGCTGCTTGATGTGGTTGTGGCTCAGGTCCAGCTTGCGCAGCTTCTTCAGGCACAGCACCCGGCTGTCGATCCTGGCCAGCTTGCAGTACGAGGTCTGCAGGTGCTCCAGGGAGAAAGGGAAGCTCTTGGTGAGGGGGTAATCCCTCCTGGAAGTGATGATCATTTTGGTTTTGGGCTTCTCCACGTCGGAGTTCTTGGCTGGGACCAGAGGTGAGAGAGGGAGGACTCCGGTGTCGTTGCCTTGGTGAGCCAGTCTCACGGCTGAAAGGAAAGTCTTTAAATTGATCACATTTGCCTGCAGGGGAACACAAGGCTGGAGTTAAAAGTTCATTATCCTGGTTATTTAACACTCTCTGAGCTGTCACTCAGCAGGGCAGGGGGATGGGAGGGGGAACAGCTCTGTTATGAATAATCCACCCAGGGAAGGAACAAAGCACCAAATCCACAGCTGGAAATGAAGTACAGGAAAAAATGTGGTGGATTTCAGGGAGCTCCCTGATGCACTGGGAGCTCCCTAAAATCCACCAGGATACAGGACTGTTACAAACACACACGGGGAAATCAGAGCTCTAAAACCTGAGGCAATAGTTCCTGGAAGTTTCTAGGAAAGAAAAGGATGGAAGCTGGGGTTGAATACAGCAAAAGGAAGGTGAAGTTGGTGCTCGTGGCCACACACAGCTCTGGCTGTGCCAGCTGCAAAGAGGCAAATTCTTTGCAAAGACAAAATAATGCTTGAGTTGGGATACAGTATTTTGGCAGCAGAATCCCAGGACAGTTTGGGTTGGAAGGGATCCTAAATCCCATGCTCTTCTACCCCCTGCCACGGCAGGGACACCTCCCACTGTGCCAGGCTGCTCCAGCCCCAGTGTCCAGCCTGGCCCTGGGCACTGCCAGGCATCCAGGGGCTGCTCTGGCAATTCCAGCCCAGCCCCTCTCCACCCTCCCAGGGAACAATTCCTTCCCAATGTCCCATCCAGCCCTGCCCTCTGGCAGTGGGAAGCCAATAAAGAAAGGCTCCCACCAACTCTCAATATCAGAGTATCAAGAGATCTGTATTTTAAATAAAGATCCAGAAAACTCCAGGAAACTAAATGCATCTGTTGCACCGACTTGATTCACTTCTCGGAACATTTGTGACCAATTATTTCTCGTCTAGATTTTCCATCAAGTCTCTGCTTGAGCTGATGTGCAGCTGACAGGCACTGAGCTGAAAAGTGAATTCTAAAATAAAAACCACATTGCAACCATAGAAGGAAAAGAAAAGAACTGCCTTGGAGTTCTGAGAGCCCAGAGGTTGTCCTTGTGTTCCCAGGTGTCACTTGCCCAAGGCCAGGGACACATTTTGCACCTCAAAGACAACTTTGCTCCTAAATCTGTTTGTTTAGACCAAATTTGAGAGGGCTCAGAACTAGAGCACACAATGTGCTATAAGCACCCAGTACGAGAAAACAACGATACTGGAGATAACCCTGGATGGAAATGTGGGAGGAATAAAGACATTAAAGGTCAAACTTCATTGACTGCATGTGGAAACAAAAATGATCATTTTCCTTAAGCATTCCAAGCACAACTCCTGCTGTGCCACCTTCCAGAGGCGGGGAGGCTGCACAACAAACACCTTTGGATCCAAGGTTATCCAGAGAAGCTGGGGCTGCCCCTGGATCCCTGGAAATGTCCCAGGCAAGGGTGGATGGGGCTTGAAGCAGGCTGGGACAGAGGGAGGGGTGGATGGGATGGGATTTAAGGTCCCTTCTGTCCCAAACCAGCCTGGGACCCTGAGACCACCAGCCCTCATTATCTCAGCCAGTCCAACACACACATTCAGCTACAGAATTTCCCCTCATTCCAGGCACATTTGTGGCATTTCCAAGATCAGTGAAATGGGAATTAAATCCAAAAAGTCCTCCAGATCTGTAAGGACCAAGTGAAATCAATACTGCACACCAGAATGAAGCTACAGGCAGGATTTCTTTGCTCTCAAGCACAAAGCACAATTCCCTCCACCAGACCTCCCCAGGGCCATGTCAGATCTCCAGACCTCTTGTTGAGAAACCCTGAAAAAAAATAAAAATGAAGCCAATAATTACTTGGAAGAGCTCAGGATGCAATTTCCTGCCCCAAGCCCGAAGTCTCAGCCCCAGAGACAATGCTGGGAAAGGAGCTGAAGCTGTGCTGATGCCTCCCAAGAGTCAGAGCTCCGAGGAAATCGGAGCTGAGGCGGATCCAGGGAAGCAGGCTCGGACCTGCTGAAGGGAAACAAACCCCAGAAAACACCCAGGATTTGTTGTTTCTGCTCCAGGGGTGAATGCTCTGCACTGGTGTTTCCCAACTCCACTTCTGAGCTGGCTGAGTGCAGCAAATCCAGCACCTGGCACAGCACAAGCAGGGGCATTTCACATAACCAATATCCCAGTCTTTGGAAATCTCTTTTCCACCAAGTTTTTGTTCATCTTTGAGAGTTATGAAGCTTTTCTGTAATGGTGTAATAAAAATCTGGCAGAAAACTACGGAAAAGGGATGAAACATATTAAATTTGAGTCCTGGAGTTCTTAAGAGGAACCTGTAATATTTTGAGATAAACTTTTTGATTTCTCACTCTTCAGCAGAAAAATTCTAAGTAAAGGAGGCAGAGTTATTCTGAATCTAAACAAAAGCCTTAATTTTTGCAAAATACAGAGCACACTGGCTTTCAACAGGAAAAAAACCAAACTGGGTTTGGTGTTCTCCCTTCTTATTTAACCATTTAGCAGGTTCATAAAATGAATGTGCTTTCTTTAGATTCAGGTAACAGAAAGGAAAAAGGATTTTCTAAACCACCAATCAACATTATTTGCTTCTATTTACACAGCCTGACTCTACAGTTTCAGGTAAGAACTCAGAGGTTTTAGAAAGCCTGTCTTACTTTTCTCTCCTATAGGGCTACAAAAGATTCCTGCAACAGGCACAGAAACAAAGACATTAGTGATAATATGATATTTCTGATGAGTTTAGCGCTGTTAAAAACACTTTACAAATCCTCTGGGAACTTGAATAAATACAGAGGTATTCGAAATAAAGGGAGATGGTGCCTGTGCCCTGCTCTGTGTGTGCTTTGAAAGCCACGGTGAGCACACGAAAACAAGAGTAAATCTCAATTTTTTTCCATGAGAAGGACTGCAAGGAACAACAATTTCATGGAATTTAAGGCCGAAGACCCAAAACCACTGCATCAGAGAGCTGAAAAAAGCTTTTTCTAAAGAAGCTGTGAAGATGGGAGACTGGGAATTGCTGGCTGGGCTGGAATTGCCAGAGCAGCTGTGGCTGCCCAAGGCCAGGCTGGACACTGGAGCAGCCTGGGATGGTGGAGGTGTCCCTGCCCTGGCACTGCCTGGGTTTAGTGTCCCTTCCCCGGCGGTTCGCGGTGCTGGCGGCGTGAGGCACAGATCCACCGCGGGCTCCCGCAGCCGCACCGTGGCCTTGCCCTCCTCCACGAAGCGCGTGAAGAGCCGCTCCACGTTCTGCTGCACCTGCGGGCACAGCGGGCTCAGCGGCCGCCCGGGGCACCCCCGCCGCGGCCCGGCCCCCGCCGCCGTCCCCACCTTGTAGCGAGCCCCGCCGCGGTCCCGCGCCGTGCACACCATGAGGTAAATCCCGAGGATGTGAGGGGGCATGGAGGTGTGAAGAACACGGGGTTGTGAATGGACGTGGAGGAGCTGAGGGGACAGGGGGGTTTGAGGGGACATGGAGGGTGTGAAGGGACGTGGGGAGCTGAGGGAGGACACAGAGGAGCTGAGGCTGCTTACAAATCTTAGGGACTCTAAACACGAATGAGTCAGGTTTAGAAAGGACATATTGTTTATTCTGTGCAGGGCACAACATGGAAATTGTCCACAAATCAGTCAATCAATCAATCAATCATCAAAATGATTTATACCCTAATGTTTACATAAATCCGTCCATCGAATCCCCAGTTTCCGCCTACCTAATACACACTCATGGCCAAGCACGACATAAAATATAAAGTTTTCCACAAACATCAAGTAAAGCATAAGACATGCGGTGACATGTGTTGTCATTGAAAAGGGGTTAGAGGGGAGAATGGCGTGAGGAGCAACAGGGAGCAGAGAAAGGGCCAGAGAATTCTGTGTAAGGACATGGAGGGGACAGCAGCTGTGAGGGAGGGGACATGGCGGAGATGAAGGGATGGCGGGTGTGAGGGGACACAGAGGAGGTGAGGGGACACAGAAGCTGAGGGGACATGGGAGGTGAGGACACAGAGGAGCTGAGGGGACAGGAGCTGAGGGCAGGGGGTGTGATAGCAGCAGCTGAGGCTTGGTAAGGGACAGAAGGCTTAGGTCAGGCTTGGTGTTGGTGTGGGCGCCATGAGGCGGCTTTGAGCACATTAAGCAGCATTGGGAGAAAAAAAATACAAACCCGGGGAGCGTTTAGTGAGCGTTTGTGCAGATGTATTATTTGAGGGCAGAAGTGGCGTTCCAGATTTGGTTGGTGCGGTGAGTTGCGTGGTTGAGCGGTGCGGGCTTGTTGCGCTCGGGCCGAGCGCGCCTCCTGCTGGAGCGGCTGGTGCGGCTGGGCGGGACACGGGGAGAGAGAGGCGGGAGGAACACGGGGCGTGAGGGGACAGGGGCGTGAGGGGACACGGGGCGTGAGGGGACAGGAGCATGAGGTGACAGGAATGTGAGGGGACATGGAGTCTGAGGGGACATGGAGGAGCTTAGAGGACATAGATATGAGCAGACATGAGCGTTTGAGAGGACATGGAGTGTGAGGGGACATCAAGGACATGAGGGGATGCTGAGGATGTGAGGGGGCATGGAGGTGTGAAGAACACGGGGTTGTGAATGGACGTGGAGGAGCTGAGGGGACATGGGAGGTGAGGACACAGAGGAGCTGAGGGGACAGGAGCTGAGGGCAGGGGGTGTGATAGCAGCAGCTGAGGCTTGGTAAGGGACAGAAGGCTTAGGTCAGGCTTGGTGTTGGTGTGGGCGCCATGAGGCGGCTTTGAGCACATTAAGCAGCATTGGGAGAAAAAAAATACAAACCCGGGGAGCGTTTAGTGAGCGTTTGTGCAGATGTATTATTTGAGGGCAGAAGTGGCGTTCCAGATTTGGTTGGTGCGGTGAGTTGCGTGGTTGAGCGGTGCGGGCTTGTTGCGCTGTTTGGTCAGTAGGAGGCGGTGTTTGTGTGTGCGTGTTTTGGGGCGAAAAGGGGTGTTTGGGGGTTTTGGCAGGTATTTAGAGTGTGGGGCCACAAAAGGTGAGCCCGCGTGTCACTCTCTTGCCCCGGCTACCCTGGGGTGGCTATTCACAGGTGCGGTCTCCCCCGTAACCGCCAACTCTGACCTGGGCCCCGCCTCTCTCCTTGGGCGACTCCGGCCCCCAGCTCACCCCAGTATCACCAGATAGATGTCTGCCATTATGTTGAGCGCTCATTCCGCAGCGCGCACACCTCGGTCCAGAACCCGTGGGCTCAAGGATCCGCCGGGCTCAGCCTCCCCCACGGCTAGGATTACAGGCGCGCGCCACTACGCCCGGCGCTCTCAGCTCCCTCCGCCGGCCAGACGAGCTGCAGCAGCTCCACGTCACGGAGCGGAGCGGCCCGCCCGGCGCTCTCAGCTCCCTCCGCCGGCCAGACGAGCTGCAGCAGCTCCACGTCACGGAGCGGAGCGGCCCGCCCGCAGCAGCGGCGGCGGGGCGGGGAGCGGGAGGCGCGCGGGGCACGCCGGGAGGCGCCGTGAGGGGGTATAAGAGCCGGCGGCCGCCGCCATCTTCCTCTCGGCAGCGCGCAGCCATGGGCCACCAGCAGCTCTACTGGAGCCACCCCAGGAAGTTCGGGCAGGGCTCTCGCTCTTGGTCAGTGCTGCCCCTTGCTCCCCCTCACCCGGGTCGTGGCTGCCGTCTCGCCGCCCTGCCTCGCTCTCCTTTCCTCTCACATTTCCCTCCTCCTCCCCCGCCGCCATTCCCCGCCCTCACGCGCCTCTCTCTGTTCCCCTCACAGCCGCGTGTGCTCCAACCGCCACGGCCTCATCCGCAAGTACGGGCTCAACATGTGCCGGCAGTGCTTCCGCCAGTACGCCAAGGACATCGGGTTCATCAAGGTGAGCGCCGGGCTGCGGGACGGGGCTCCTCGGGGGTGCCGGCATGGGCCACCAGCAGCTCTACTGGAGCCACCCCAGGAAGTTCGGGCAGGGCTCTCGCTCTTGGTCAGTGCTGCCCCTTGCTCCCCCTCACCCGGGTCGTGGCTGCCGTCTCGCCGCCCTGCCTCGCTCTCCTTTCCTCTCACATTTCCCTCCTCCTCCCCCGCCGCCATTCCCCGCCCTCACGCGCCTCTCTCTGTTCCCCTCACAGCCGCGTGTGCTCCAACCGCCACGGCCTCATCCGCAAGTACGGGCTCAACATGTGCCGGCAGTGCTTCCGCCAGTACGCCAAGGACATCGGGTTCATCAAGGTGAGCGCCGGGCTGCGGGAGGCGGCTCTGGGGTGCCGGTTCCCGCTGACTCCCCTCTGTCCCGCTCTCTTGCAGCTGGACTGAGCGCCGGCAGGATGAGGCGACAGCCAGGAGCTCCCGGGGCGTCCCAGGCCCTCCCTGACACATCTGCAGCGTCTCGGCTCAGTCTCACCTAATAAATGGTCTCCTAACCCAGCTGGTTCCTGCGTGTTTCCCTTCCGTGCAGGTTTTGGCGGCTCGGGGGTTCTTGAAGTGGGGGCTGCTCTGCTCGGCTTCCCAACCTTCCTCTTCCCCGGGCTGCTCCAAGCCCTGGCCAGGGATCCAGGGGCAGCCACAGCTGCTCTAGAGGGAGTGAGGTAAAGACACACTTAAGTGCCAGAGGTCTGGAATTCCAATGAATTCTGGAATTCCGAGTGTCTGGGTGCTCTTCTGCTATGAGGGGACTGAGCAGGTAAATGCTCTGCTCACACCTGGGGTCCTAAATGCTGCTCCCTCCCAGCTGAGTGCTCTGCAGTTCCTTTGGGAATGCTCAGGAACCTTTGTCTTGTCCCCCTGGCTATGGCATCAGTGAGATGAGGTGGTGAGGAGGGAGTGGGAGCAAAGGCTGTGGGGTTATCACAGAATTTGGGATGGTTTGGGCAGCTCCTTCCCTCCTAAACCCTTCCATGTGTGACACAGGGATGGGGATTTGGGAGCCCTGGGGAGGGGTTGGCTTTCCTCACCAGGAGGTGGTTGGGCCTCTCATTTTGAGTGAGAAATGATAAAATCCTGGTTCTTACCACATAATGCTTCAGTGTGAAGGTTCCACACTAAGAATTTAAGATTTCAGTTGCTCTGCTGGTGGTTTTGGGCTTTCCTCCTCACCAGTTTTGGTTGATGTTCAAAGGAAGGGGAATCCTGTGGGATTTGTTTGGCTTCAGCGTGGTTCTGAAAAAACACAAACCCCTCGTTGCCTTTTTAACCAAAATCCTGAATTTCTAGGGGGGGTTTAACTGAGGTGTAAAATTTCAGAGGAACACGAGATCAGTGGGGATGCAGAACGTGATGGGAGGCTCTGTGCACTTCCCACTGCTGTGTCCAACTTTCCTCCTGCTGCTTCTCAGAGGTGCCTGAGGCACTTCCCAGTGGGAAATCTGTGTTTTCCACAGATGGAAATGCTGGATGTCATGTTGGACACGGGAGGATGCTCCCGTGCTGGTACCACTGAGAGCAGGATTGGAATTTTGTGGATTCTCAGAGCTGCAAGAGCTGTTCCAGCAATTCCAGCCAGGCAGGGAATTGTGGATATTTGTCCTTTTTTCCTGAGCAAAGCTCCTTCCTGAGAGTCAGAGGAATTTGGGATAAATTTCCCTGTGCTGCCCTGAGGATCTGCGCCCCAAATCTCTGCCAGAACATTTTTTTTCTCATTATGGAAAACAAAAATAAATGGGGATGGTAATTGCAAAGCAAATCCCTATTGAAACCAAAGCTAAAACGTGGTTTTCAATTACCTTGTGAACATTCTGATGCCCCTGTTGGCACCTAATTTTGTAAAATTACAAAATTGCTTTTTCCCTGTTTTTTTTGCTCCCATCTTTTAAGCCTGGGGAAAAAGTGGTGTAGGACAAGCTGTCATTCCTTTTTACCTCGTTGCTGCCTCAACCGGGTATTTATTGCCCAATATACAACGAGGATGAGGTGCCAAAACCTTGAGTTTCCTGAGCTCAGGTTGAAAATTGCATTTTGTTCCTGGTGGCTCCAGTCTCTGGAGGTTCATGGATGTGAAGCTGGAATTATTTGGATGCAAAGTGCTTTATGAAGAGCTGCTGATTCCCCTAAAGAACAGGTGAAATCAGAATCCACTTCAAGGACTTTGCATTAATAATAAACAACTAATAAATGGTTTCCTGCAGGGAAATAAAATGTCCTGCTCGGAGCCAAGGAAAGCATAGTGGTGCTTTGGGAGAGAGGAGTTTCCCACTGCTGGAATTGAGTTTATTGGGATTTGCAGTGCTGAAACCTCACTAAATCACATTGGATTATGCACCAGATGAAATCTGTGCTTGTCACAGGCTCTGGGAGGAATTTTTGGGGAAAACTTTGGCTTTGAGCTCATCCCGAGGCTGGAAGAGCTGAGGGTGCTCTGCAGGAAAGCAGTGCCACTCCTGTTGGGAACCCTCCTGGCTTTATGGGACCACCCTGGGGGCGGTCCTGGGGCTCTTTCCCTTCTCCCAGGTGGATCCCAATCTCCTGGATCAGGAATTCCACAGCCGTGAGACCGGGATGAGCTTTCAGCCCGATCCTCCCATCCTGACATTCCTGAATTCCTGCAGGGATCCAGCTCCACCTGGGGTGGTTTGGGGGTGCAGGTGATGCTTGGGATGACACTGATTTTAGGGCTGCCCAGCACTCCAAAGCCACGTTGAAGGAAAGGGACAAACCCAACCATGGAAAGGAAGGAAACCTCCAGAGGGTGGGAGCAGGGCCAGGCAGCCTGAGAGGATACAGGGAATTTATCCGAGCACACAGGAATTGTGGATAAAACCCTGAGGGAATTAATTGTGGCCTGGGCCATCAAGGGTGACAAAAATGCTTCTAAAGTACCTTGGTGATAAAAGGAAGAGCAGGGAAAATTCATGGGATCACTGGGTTGGGAGAGACCTTCAGGATCACGGAGTCCAGCCCAGCCCCAGCACCCCAACCCAGCCCTGGCCCCCAGTGCCACATCCAGGCTTTGTTAAACACCCCCAGGGATGGGGACTGCACCACCTCCCCGGGCAGCCATTCCAGAGCTTTATCACCTTTCTGGAAAAACCTTTTCCTGATATCCAGCCTGTATTCCCTTGGCCCAGCTGCAGGCTGTGTGCTCTGGCTGTGTCAGTGCCTGCAGACAGAGCCCAGCCCAGCTGAGCACAGGCACCTTTCAGGAGCTGTGCAGGGTGAGGAGGGCACCCCTGAGTCTCCTTTCCTCCAGGGGAGCACCCCCAGCTCCCTCAGGGCTTCCTCTCAGCGTTGGTGTTCCCAGCCCCTCTCTTGGGATGCACTCGAGCATCCCAAGGTCCTTCCCAGAGCTGGGCACAGCACTCAGGTGTGCCCTCAGCAGTGAGCCCTGGCCTGAAGGAAACTGGAGAGCGGGGCATGCAGCCAGGCTGGGAGAGCCGGCAATGTTCCCCTGGAGAGGAGAAGGCTCCAGGGAGAGCTCAGAGCCCCTGGCAGGGCCTGAAGGGGCTCCAGGAGAGCTGCAGAGGGACTGGGGACAAGGCATGGAGGGACAGGAGCCAGGGAATGGCTCTTGGTGCCGGGCAGCGCAGCATTCCCCCTCCAGGAGCAGCAGCTAGATGGCACCGTCAGCCTGCAATTCCCTCTCCTTGCTCTGTCCGTGAATCCCAGCTGCCCTCCAGCAGCTGGAGCCTGCAGGAATTTGTCCTGCGGATTCCCTGTCCTTCCTTTCCTTTGAAAAATCCTAATATTTTGTATCCTTGCTGCTGGACAGCAGAACTGGAACAGAGCCGAGCTCTGCTTGAGTCTGTGTGACACTGGAAGAAAAATTTCCCTCCCCTCCCTTCCCTCCCCTCCTGCATGTTCTGTCATTTTGGGGAAAAAGTTTTAAATCCCACCCAAATGAGGCAGGTGCTCTTTATCCCTGCTCAGGTTATCCCTGATTTTCTCTTGCTTCTTCAGCAGCCCCTGCTGAGCTCTCCTCATCCTTGCTGGGACCACAAATATTCCTGATCCCAGGGCTTTTATCTATAAATTCATAATTTTATAATTTTATCTATAAATTCATTTTAGGAGACTCAGACTCACCTGGGGACATTTGGTGTCACTTGGTGGGGCCAAAAGCTGTGCTGAGCTCGAGGGAAGCATCTCCTGCATCCAGCACCAGAGACTTGGGGAAATCCCATGGATTTGGGTGACTCCCATGGATTTCTCCCTGCTGATTCCCAGCACCAGGCTGGAACTGCAGCGATGCTGACGTATCCCAAATTCCCACTTTATAATTTGATTTATTCCTTCAGCACAGTCCTCTGCTAAACTTTCCCCATCCCAGTGCTGGGGTGAGCCCCTGAGCACAGGGTGTGGCACCCTCTGAGCAGGAGAATTTTCCAGGAAAAATCTCCCCATGGAAAAGGTGCTCAGGCCTTGGAATTGGCTGCCCAGGAAGGTCTGGAATCCCCATCCCTGGAGGTGCCCAAGGAATTCCTGGATGTGGCACTCAGAGCTCTGGGCTGGGGACAAGGTGAGGATCAGGCACAGCTGGGACTCGATGATCCCAAAGATTTTTTTCCAACTCGATGATTCCATGATTCTGCTCCAAGTTTTTAACAATCTGGTGGGATAAACACCCAGGAAAATCCAGGCAGATGGGATCAGGCTGAAGTGCTTCTAAATAAAACATTCCCAAGGGCTGGCACGAGGCACCAGTGGCTCTAATTCACGCCTCTTGTTGGGAGTGTGTTCCTTGCAGACAATGTTTATTTATGGCATGGAAAAATCTATTTCCATCCAATCATTTCCATAACTGAATATTTATGCCAACAGCCACTGAATGCTCCTTGACTAAAGTGAAATAGTGTTCTTTCAGTTATAAATGTTTACTTGTTTAGTGGTGAAACTGCTTTAAACAAACTTAAATATCAAACTGGTGTCTTCCCCTTTCGCAGGATTTCCGTGGTTTTCCAGGCATCAGCAATGGATAATGTTGGAATTATCATTCCAGCTCGAGGAGCCTCTGTGTGTTTATGCCTTTAATCTCAAAGAGAGTTGGTTTAGGTGGGATATTGGGAAGGAATTCCTGGCTGGGAGGGTGGGGAGGGGCTGGGCTGGAATTGCCAGAGCAGCTGTGGCTGCCCCTGGATCCCTGGCAGTGCCCAAGGCCAGGCTGGAGCAGCCTGGACAGTGGGAGGTGTCTCTGCCCATGGAGGGGTGGAATTAAATGGGATTTAGGATCCCTTCCAACCCAAACCATTCTGGGGTGACCAGGCAGAGCTGGAGTCCCCATTCCTGGAGGGATTTCAGTCCCTGTGGAGGTGGCACTTGGGGACACGGAGCAGGGTGGCCTTGGCAGTGCTGGGAATGGTTGGACTCCATCTCAGCTTCCCCCCTGCCCTGGGCAGCTGTGCCAGGGCTGGACAAACCTTCCCATGGATAAATGTTCCCAAAATCCACCCTGAGCCTCCCCTGAGGCCGTTCCCTCTGCTCCTGTGCCCGTTTCC